AAGAAAGCTCAATTTGTGGGAAAAAAAAGAACATGAATTTCATTTGGGTGCAGCACTGCAGTACCAAAACAGAAAATAGAAGGAAAATCTTCCAGCGGGGCGACTTGTTTCGTGACAACAGTCTAAAAGGGCATTTCACTCACTTTTGAGAGATTTCCTCTCACTTCCCGTTGCATACAAATAACGGAAAGTGAAGGGAATTCTCCCCAAAAGGGTCAGAGTTATGAAAAAAGAAAAAAAGTAGACAATAAAAAGACGATTACACTCAAAATTTTTGTTGGAAATATATGTGGAAGCCGCATGGTCTCATCAAGGCTTCTCTGTAAAGAGAATAGCAATGGATAAATTAAGGCCGAGACACCAGAAGGGAGCACATTTTTCTTGAAGAAGCACAGACACCAGAAGGGAGCACATTTTTCTTGAAGAAGCACAGACACCAGAAGGGAGCACATTTTTCTTGAAGAAGCACAGACACCAGACACCCACACAAAGCATAATGAAGCCATCCAATTTGTCCCTACACCAATTCTAACAAGGACAAATGATGACCACCCCAACTTTTAATAAATTGTGTGCAACGTCTTGACCAGTGTAATTTTGTCTTTGTGTTTGCTGATTAGCTGGTAAGAGCACCGGTAAACTTTTTTTTTTTTTTTTTTTTTTACAGGGGTATCTGTCTGTCCATCCATATTTACCTGCCAGGGTTGTTTTAAATAGTGCATTGGGTCACAGGTTGCAAGTCAGCAGAGGTAGTGAATCAACAGTAAACAAATTTAAATGAAACATGCTTGGGGTTGAGGTTCCACATGCCCAAATATTTAATTCAGAAATACACATTAGCACCATCTTACAAGGGGGAACACAAATATGACTATAGGAATGTGGAGGGTAGATGATGTGACCACATGGGAAGAAGCGTTTTGATGTGATGCAGGGAGTATTTTGCATCTTTCTTGTTGATTGTAAGAATATGGGGTATTTAAAAACATTTGACCTCAGATGTAACAAACTTGTATTTTCCAATGCGATGCCTAAATTAGACCCACAAGAAGCCATATTCATCTTGCCTTTTTTTTCCTCTACAAAAAGGTGACAGCAGTAGGAAGGTGGGAAAGGATGTAAGGAGCTGGATGCCACAATGTACACATCTGTATTCACCACTGGCATTGTGCCAACCCAAACATCGTATGCAACACTCATTGATCTTGGTGGCTTCTAGCCAACATTGGCATGTATTTGTTCCCAATATCATGGAAGAGTTTGTACTTTGCAAAGGAAACCACACACAAAGCATTTTACATAAAAATATATTTTTTTTATTTTTATAAAATACAAAAATGCCACAATTTCACATGTCTACATGTATTGTTGCAAAGCAAGAAAACACCCCAGCTTTGTAAGATACTTTACATACAGGTAAATAGAAATAAATTATACTTGCATCATTTTTGTGAGAAGACAAGAACCAATATGCTAATGAAACCTTTTATCAAAAGAAGTGTGTTTATTTAGTTCCCATCCATAAATTAACACAGACCTAATTATTCACCAGCATTTGCTGTGAGATTTCCAATAAACATATATTTAACTTGCTGTAAAAAATGACATCTGCAGATTGTTTTAGCCAACAAAAATGATTCTCAATGAATAAAAGTCATTCAATAAAAAGGTAGTGCAAAATGTAGACATCCACGGCAACCAATCAGATCTCTGTTTATTGTGATCAAGTGTGTCATTTTTTTAGTTACTGTATATTACTGCAGTTTGCATTGCCTAGATCGAACAGCCTGAAGCTTTACAATTATAAAAAGCATGAACCAACGAAGCTGTAAAAAGAATGTCCCAATAAAGATGGCATGATTGGATTTGGCCTACAGAAGCTGGATGTTTTCTAGACCTCAATAGCCTCCTACACTAGTAACCGTGCACATTTTTTTGTAGTTGCCATCAGATCCATAGGTGAATAGGTTGCTAGATGACTTTAACCGCTTCCCAACCACCCTATAGCAGAACTATTGCTACAGGGTGGCAGGGCTGCGCAAAATCACATGTATATATATATATACACATACATATATATATATATATATATATACACACACACACACACACACACACACACTTGATTTTGTATTTCCAGGTGGGAGGGCATGCTTCCTCTATAGCAGAACTACGGCTACAGGGCAGCGGAAACACACACACACACACAATTTTGTATTCCCCAGGTAGGGGGCGCGCCACCCTACCAGCTACAGCAGTCGATCTCTGGGTCCCGGCTGAAGATTCCCCAATGGCACCCAGCGATCGCCAAGGAACACTGACAGGGGAGAGGTCTGTATGTAAACAATACAGATCTCTTCCCTGTCAGCACCAGCATGCTGCTTTGTATTGCTCTGCATTGCTACAGAATTGCATGTCTATGTTTCTATTTTCTGCCAGTCTACAAAATGTTACCCATCAACACTTGTTTGCACCACTGAATATTAAAATATATACTGTATGCTCTCTCCTGTAGTTGGTTGCTGCAAATGTTAAATACTAATGTTTTTAACAATTTGCATCAATATTTGACAGCAAACAGCTATCAAATGTTGATGCAAATTGTTAGATCTGTTTGAAAGGTCAGAAGGGTCTAAAACGTTGAACTGCAGAACATTTAACGCAGCACTAAACCCAAAAACAAAAATGTAATATTATTGCAACCTACCACTAATCTTTAAATTTGATGTCTGCATTGGTTTTCTTTAGGCTTTTTTCCTTTGCCTGGTGATCTGGATAGTAATACATTTCCTGTCTTAGGGTGGCTCCGCTACACGTGGAGGAGCAACAAAGACGCCCTTAGACAGCAGTACTGTCAATATGGGGAGAGGGTATTGTTAGATGAACTAGACTAACAGGGATGTGGACAGTTCAAGCTCTTGCTTTAACTGCTTAAAAAGGTGTTAGCTGGAGTTCATTTTTTTTCCTTTTAGGATAAAGGCTTTACATAAATGAACTAAAGTTGCCTCTTTTCAGGGATAAATGGTTTGTTTCAACCCTCTATTCTGGGGATTCTAGTAGCACCAAGGCCTCGTTTACACGGCTTCAGCTTGTATAGGAGCAATGCATACGGCAAACTATTACAAAGCATTTGCACAGCTTTTAGCAAGCTTTGCTGAAGTCTGTGAAGAGCTCTTTGGCTTTAGTTTGTTAAATACAGATCATAATAGAAGTGGTAACTATCAATCACTTTAAACAAGATGCTAACAGACTTCATTAGGCTTCAACTTGCCTAAACACATTTACAAAAATATGGCTTTAGACGTGTTTTGGTGCGGCTTCTCTCCTGCCAGGAGAAAGGCATCAGGAGAGCTGGGCAATCGCCCAGTGTACATAAAACCTTAAAGTGACAGTCAATGCTTCTATTAAGTCCCATTATTTAACATTCTCAAACTGCAGCGAAAGAGTTCTTTAAAGGCTTCAACAAAACTGCTCTGAGTTTAATGAAAATCTTGCAGAAAACGTCATAAAATCCACGTTTGCTAATATACAAACTAAATCACATATGAGCAAAGCCTTACAGGGGAATATTTATAATATGGGCACTTGATATCTGTACCTGTGAAGCAAGGGTTGCAATGGTCGCATTCTGAACAGGCTGCAACACCCGCTTCTGAAAAATCTTAAAAATTCTGAACCTGCACACTTTCCAACACTGCGATTCCATCACTAATAAACAGTAGCAGGCACCACAGACCACTGTAAATAGTGCGGCTCCCAAAGCACTGTAAACATCTCCTGTGATGGTCACTGCTCACAAGACAGACGTTACAATGCATAATTCAAGCAATTTTATATACATAAAAGGGAATTCTTTAGCACCTTTAGTTCAGCAGACACTGTCACGTAAATCTAAATGGCCTGAAATTTACTGCCACCATTTAAGCAATGGCCTGAAGTACTGACAGAAGAGCAGCATATCACAGTGCTGCAATCACAAGTGTCAACCATGCTCCGCAGTTAGCCCCTTAAGCTGCCATTATTGAACTCCTATCAGTCAGTCAACCCTTCTGGCAAGATCTATTGGATCTTCAATTTTCTATTGGATACCAAAACATTTAAAAGTTTAACAGAACCAAGAACTGTACCAAAGAATCATGCTTCTAAAATGCTTTGATTAAAACAAACATCATAGATCTGTCTTTTGAAATGTTATTTCAGAATATAAGACGTGGTTTTCCTAAAAGGAAAGAAATTATATATACAGTATATTTTCCTGAAATTTGCTGGCAAAATTAACACTTAAAATCTGCTCAATGCTTATTCTCTAAACCATATTAATTGCAGTAGGAACATCACGTAAAAATGTGATAGCAAAAACTAGCAAAGTTTAGAAAATATATAACAAGGTAGCGATAGCAAGTACTAATGTATGCTGAAAATAGGATAATATTCCTTTTCACTGTATTCATGAAGTCATACTGAAAAAAAAAAAGAAAGTAGTTCTCTGTGACAAAGGCTCCTAGAAGACGTGAAACATCCATACACAGCAAACCCCTTGCCTCCCCTAGAATGGCTGCTTAAAAATAGATCTATAATTGCGATGCATAAAATGTTATTTTTGTGCTTTTTTTTCAATTTTTACAATTCTACACATAGGTTTGTAACCAGGCCCAGTTGACCAAAGCAGGGTAATGGCTTGTTTCAAAATGGTATCTGAGCACTAGTTGAAAATAAGGCATTCCATTAATTGCATATTAACTAGGAATGCACATTGTGAACACTATCAAATACCTTTCTATAACAATGCTTTCTCTTCTCCCAGCCAATGATACATCACATCCCACTTCATAGCATTGACATAAATCGCATCATTCTTCAAAGTTCACCTGATGTCCCTGTAATACTGCCGACCAATCTGCTGGTTTGGCCATAAAACCTTGAGTCCATTTCTCAAGTACCCATAATTACTGAAGAGGACATTACCGGCCTGGATGGTAAGAGCTTCCTGGGATCACAGGTTAAGAGGGGCCCTGAGAGTGACTGACCACTGAATGTTTAGTGGTATGAATGGCCTTGGAGGAGCCTGAACGATGCCTTCGACGGCTGGTGTCCTCATGTCCTGAATTAGATGGATGTCTGCGGCGTCCTGACTCTTCTGCTAACGGAGGCTGAGGACACAAAGGATATATACAGAAATAACAAAAAGTAATTGCAGGTTATAAAATAGCATTACCCCATGCAATTTGAAAGGATATCATCCAGTCATGGTGGGGCTGGACCTGGGGCCCCAACTGTAACTGAGGCCCTGTGTACACATAGTGCCTCACTTTGCTACTGAAATCCGTGGCTGTCCCCTGCTGGCTGAATGGGACAGATTTATGTTTTTGGTTTTTTTGGGGTTTTTTTTTAAACATCCATGCCTGTTCAGCTTGTGTCCGGCTGAGATGGAAGGACCTTTGATAGCTCTATGGATGGCAGAATGTAAATGGACTTGTATCCATTTACATCAAGCTACCTTCGATCCACAGTTAGGTCTGGGTAAACAACCTTATTTTTGTTTTTTTTTTCCTGGACCTGGACACACAAAAGGTAGGTGGGTGTAAAATGACACAAGACCGTTTACATCAGCCTGCCCATAGAGCTGCATGAAGCTTCTGATCAAGTCCACCAGAAAAACGAACATGCAGACCTGGGCTCTTAGAAATAACGCAGCAGTATTCTGTGACCTGAGATCTTTTGCATGTTGCGGTTTTTTTTTATCAAGACCATATGCAAGAAGATTATAAACTTTAGCCTGATCCTGTCAGACCCATGATTTAAACCAAATTTTCCAAATGCACTATGCAGTGCTAAGTTACAATTGTTACCAATTCCATCTGCTTTATAGGCCTGGGTCAGCTTTTAGTGAATGACTTACATCAACTCGGAAGTCTTCCAGTCTCTTGAATTTGCTCAGGTGGTTCTGCAGTATGGGATCTACAGACAGTTTTTGGATTGGGAGTATTTAAGAAAGGCCCAAAACTTCTCCAGTCCATACAGTTGACCTGATTGTGACAAATAAAAGTTCAGAATATGGCAGGACAAAATAAAACAGTTTGCTATGGCACAAGTAGAGATTACTACCAGTTTCATAATCTTTCAGAGTTTCTTCCTGAAAATCCTTAAATATGTCTGGTCTAAATTTCCTTTCAAGTCCATAGCTGTAGAACCTGAAAAGGCACTCCAGGCCATACCTGCAAAAAAGTATAAAAGTAAAAATGACCAAAAGGTACAGAGTGTAGTATAGTACAGTAGGGCAGTAGTATAGTACAGCAGTAGAGTTTGGTATAATAGGAGTGCAGGATTGTTAAAGGAGACCACCATACACCTTACAACCGGTCTGTATCCTTAATTTGTAACAAAACTAAATAATTTCACAATCCACCTAATCTGCCCAATAACTTTATATCCAATTAGACAGGTCGTTTTAATACATAGTTGTTGGTATACCTAAAAGGAGATTGTACAATCAGATCGTGACATGGGTCGTCAACTTATCCAGGTGGATCACAACAATATGGTCAGGATTCATCCAAAGCCTGAAGCAGCTCTGTGACATCAGCCAACAGAGGGCTTTAGCCTACAGTGGCTAAATGGTAGGGCAGCATAGTGGCTAAATGGTTAGCACTTCCGCCTGGCAGTACTAGGGTCGTTGGTTCGAATCCCAGCCACAGCACCACCTGCCTGGAGTTTGCATGGTCTCCCTGTGCCTGCGTGGGTTTCCTCCGGGTACTGTGGTTTCCTCCCACACTCTAAAGACATGATGGTAGGTGAATTGGATCCTGTCTAAATTGGCCCTAGTATGTGTATGTATGGATGTGAGTTAGGGACCATAGATTGTACGCCCCTTGAGGGTTAGGGACTGATGAGAATGTACAATATATATGTAAAGCACTGTGCAAATTGACGGCGCTAGATAAGTACCTGAAATAAATAAATAATACTATTGGCTGATTCTCGGTCACAGGAGAGCAAAAGAGAAGAATGACCCAAAAAAGCATTGCCCATACATCTCTTTTAAAAATAGCATAAAACTCCAGAGACTTGAAGTGAAGTTCCGCTTTAACGACTGGTCCCCCGCTCCCCATTAAGGATTGGCACCTTCGGGGAGTGGGTACCCAAAATTGACAGGTACCTGCTCCCACTTCCGCTGTGATCGCCTAGGCGATCGGAAGTGGAAGTTGTCCTCCACCCTCCCTCCCTGTAGTCTTCTGGGACTTGTGACAGGTCCCAGAAGACTACGGGACCATTCAGGAAGCGCAGTGCTACTCATGCATACGCAGTGTGCACCCAGCTGTGAAGCAGCAAGCGGTCACAGCTGGGTGCCCACAATGAATATGCCAGTGCCTGGAACACCAGACGGCTGGTGAAACAGGATTCGGGAAGGATACCACGGGATCGTGGGACAGGTGAGTGTAGCTGCTGACTTTTAATAAAACAGCCAGTTTTTGTAGCTGCTGAGTTTTAATTTTTAACAGTGTGACTTGAACTCTGCTATAAGCTGTTTTTACACTACAGATTTAAAAAGAACTTTTCAGGAGTTCTGCTTTAAAGGAGAAATGTGGGATAACAAACATATATACTCACCTATATGGCTGGAGTGTTCGCTTGATACTGTAGCTGACCCCCCCAGCCTGAAACCCGAGACTGAGAATTGAGTGATCACATGACTGCCGATCACTCAGTTCTTGATCTTCACTGAGCACAGAATGGTGATCATCAATCATTGCTCTCTGCTCTACCCCTTCAGTGCTCACTGGAGCACGTAGCTGTGGAGGGGGCAACGCACTAAGAGGCTGAGACAGCTGCTGGTCGGGTATCTGGGTGGACATTCTCAGGATCCCTGCAGAGACTGGACCAGCTTTATGACATCAGCCGACAAGGAACTTTATCCTGCAGTTGGCTGAATACTGGTCACAGGAATGCAGAAATAAAATGCAGTCCTGTGACCCAGAAGAGAAGTATGGCCAAAAAAAGCTCTGGTAACACTTCTCTTTTATTATACAAACAGCTGGTAAAAAAAAAAAAAAAAAAAAAAAAAAAAAAAAAAAAAACGCAATTTTTTTTTTAACGTGGTTCTAGAGTGTAGACTTGAGGATTCATGTGTGAGCCAGACATCTCTTCTGCTATACTAAGAAAGGCGCATTTTTCTCCTGGCACAGGGCACTTTAGGGAGGCTGCTGCATACAAGCAGAGCAATGTTCTTTTAGAAATCAACAACCAGGCTGGCGAAGTTCTGCATGTCGGCACTGTACTTTCTAAAAATGAACCCATAGAAAACTGACTGCCCCACCAGAACACACTACTGTGCAGAACATGACTGGTCTGAGCCCATTGCCGACTTGTGTGTGAATCTCCTTAAAATGTAAACGGCAAATTACACAGCAATACATAGGATAGGCCAGGTAACTGCTTTTCTATACGGATAACTACTGATGTTTGTTTCATTGTATTTTACTGCAGCACCAAATGAATGCACACAGCCAATATAGCAGACAACAAATCAACAAACCATTACATTTTGGTAAAAAAAATCCTGTTTGTAGAAGTGAGATTTGGCTGATCTAAGGTTTATTTCAATTGATCATTTTTCAGAAGAATACAAGTTAGATGATTCATGTTACCTGTAGTTTTCTTTGGCATCTTCGACAGAGATTTGCTTTAAACTCCTCATACATTTTCTTGTTAAAGTGATCTCTGAGGAAAAAGGACCAGAAGCGGAACAGAGTGTTCATCTCTGGGGACTGACCAATTCCCAATTTTTTTCTCTCTAAAAACAAAAGAAGAAAATGATTCAATGCACTTTTATCAATTCTGTCACACAATGGGGTAGATGCAGCGAGACAGATTTACAATATTCATGCACACGAACATAATCATTTACGGATGTTTTTACTCAGGATTTTTCTGTCCACAAGATCCTGAGTACAACGTTCCGCAATTCAAATGCATGGGTAAAATTCTTCATCCTTTTCTAGTTGCCATTTACCCGTGTGTGTAAATTACTGCACTCAAAACATAACACTTTCTAATTTTAACCCTCATTCACACAACCGCATTACACCCATTTTATATTTATGGATCTCAATACAGCTACATTGTTTTAAGTTGAGACATTCACACAGGTACGCATACGCCATTGAGAAAAAAAAAAAAAAGTGACAATTTTTATGCATTAAAAAATGGCTCTTATTTACGCAAGAACATTTGTTCCTTGCCTTTCTGATCAGTAAAAATTTTCAGGGCTGTGTCACAGCCATGTGAATGTAGCCTTATTTTTACCTCTCTGTACTAACCCCTGTATAGACAGCAATGCGCCTGTATTGAGAACAGTAAAAAACTCCCATATGCAACAGGCTTAAAACCTGCCCTGGAGCACTTTTTAATGGTTCACTTGTTTGGAGAGAAATCTTAATTGCCGAGTCTATTGCAGACTTGTGCATCTATGTCCTAGTTGGCTAGCTGGAATTCTAGGGGGTCAAGCCACAAATACGCATAAAAACCTTGTAGAGGTTTATAAATAAAATAAATTAATTTGCGTCTGTCACCAATTTGCTTGATAAACAAACCGCCAATGTATATGGGGTACGACAATTAGAGCTCTGAAATTAAACAAGTCATATAGTAGAATACAATTACGGATGTGTATATATGTAAAAAGGTCACTGGATCATGTAAATTACATAGTTACCTAGCTAGTCTGGCTGAAAAAAAGACAAAAGTCCATCCAGTTCAACCATTAAAAAAAAAAAAAGTTATAATCCTATACCCACAGTTGATCCAGAGGACAGCAAAAAAAAAAAACAGCACAGCATGAACCAATCTGCTACTGCTGGGAAAAAAAAAATTCCTTCCTTATCCCCCGAGACACAATCAAATATTCTCTGGATCAACTTTACCTATACATGTTAATATCCAGTTATATTCTGTGTATCTAGGAAAGGATCCAGGCCTTTTTTAAAGCAATCCACTGAGCTGGCCAGAACCAAGTCTTGAGGGAGTCTATTCCACATTTTCACAGCTCTCACTGTGAAGAAACCTTTCCATGTTTGGAGATTAAATTTCTTGTGCTTGACATCTGCTTCTTTATTTTAGGATACTACATCTTGTAAATAGCAAAGGACAACAGTTACCAGTGGTAATATAAGTATCCGTGTCTTTAAAGAACTATATAAAATACAGATACAGATTTCAAACATCCATATTTCTGAGGGTATGTGAACCCTAACAATACACTTCTCTTATTTGTTATATGTTACTCGAATGCATTTTTGCCCTTAACATGCACTTTATACATACTTTTTTTTTTTTACCTAACTTCTGGTGAATCCCACTGTTGCCTACAAGAATTGAAATAGACTAGAATTAAATATCCCATACTTAAAAAAAGCCTATCAGAAAGACTGGGAAAGATTTTGGGATTGTGCTCGGCTCTTCAGTGATTAATATTCTTCATTATTCCTATTCTGACCTAACTTCGTTTTGGTAACTTGAAGACAGTCTAATCACTTCTGCCTGTGAACACCAGCATGGAACCAGCAAAGAGCTGATCTTCAAAATAGAAAAGAGCCTAAAGGGGTCTACAGGATTACTCTGTATAGTTGTAATAGTTGTCAGTTATTGTTGGTAGGGAACACTTCCAATGAGAAAATACAGAAATTACTGTTGCTAACCTTTTCTTCTGAGAATGCTAGTTCCTTATCGGCTATGCAGATCCAACAGCCTTTTGATTTTCTCAGTGACTGACCTGGTACAATATGTCGATTAGGAGTCCTTACTGCAATAAAATTTTACTGGCTGCATGCTTGTCATGGAAGACTTAGAATAAATTTAAAGGGACTTTGCTTCAGATATAAAAGAGCAGACTTACAGAATTCTCCAAAACCCTGTGGTCACAGACAGATCATTAGCTGTTCTGACAAAGCTTCAACATTTCCCCATGGTGCCAAAGTGTATCCACCCTTTTCCTGCCTCCTGCACATTCATATTAGCCAGTAAAGTTGCCCATTACAACAATGGACTGATAGGAATACGTGTGGTGGGAGGGAGTTGCAAGTGTTGGATCTCTGCCATTGTAAAGGACCCAGGATTTAGCCCTAATAGCTAGGTTTGGAGGGCTGATGCTGGGGTACGGACATTTCTATTGTAAATGCCATTTGATCAATTAATAACCAAGTAACACTAGTTGTCAGTATTAATAAATGACCTTGCTGGTGCCCTGTCTTGCATAGGCTTGAAGTAAAGCATTGACACTGGCAATTCATTTCTAGCACATTAGAACATTATTACTCTAAGTTTTGTTTTAATTCTATGTGCTTTCAGCTCTGTTACATAGACAAGGCACTAATTTATATCTGTAACATTACAAGCCATGTGATTAGTAAATACACCAACATCCTGTAATGCTTCCTCCTGCTTTCCACATGTGGTTAGCACAAATAACTTCAATTGTAAAGGGCTTCAGCTTTTTCCAGGCACATAAGGCAGTCGCATGTGACACATCTTGCAGTAGTAACACAAAAGGACTGCGGTTTTAAGCTGTCACCCAGATAAACCAGCTAGCATCAGCATCCCTATAGGAAAGGAAGTCTACACTACATGACATATGGAGCCGACCTGTGAAAACTGGAACATAGAACGCCAGCAAAAATGTCAATGCTGCTCAAAGTACTAACAGCTAAACAGTTTTGAACCTTCACACAACTTTCACATTTTCTGGAATTTCCATAAGTGTTTCCCTCTTCTCCATCTTGAAGCCCGGAAAATCTCTGTTTAAAGTTATTAAACACATATTTACCATTTAGGCACCTCCGACGATATTTGTGGTACACTTGCTGTGTAAATCCATTCTCCTTTAACAGTTCATGAGAAGGATGTTGAAACTTGGGTAATGAATGAGGGGTGCACCCATAGCTTCCAACAAGTGGGGTGCCTTCTGAAGGAGAAGCATTGGAACTGCTGCAAATAAGCCATAGAACGTGAGATTGCAGTACACAATGGCAAGTAAGCAATTCAAGTTTTTTTCACATCTGCACTACACTGAGACCATTTTATACAACTGATGTGGCCAAATTCTAAAGGAAACCTTTACTGGAACAAACATGTGGTCTCTCATTGATGACCACCTTCTGAAAATGCTAGTTGTCTGTCTCTGGCTTTGTAACTTTTGGGTCACTGAGCTGAAACAAAAATGCAGCAAGTAATGGCTCAAGTCAGAATTCTCAAGCTCCATACTTGTTTGGGATCAGCGATTTGCATTTCTTGCAAAAAAAAAAATGTTTAAAATGGTTTATTCTGGGATGTAAATCAGTAATGTGGATCTTAACCACTTCCCGTCCAGCCCATGTACATAAATGGCTGGACGGGAGCAGTGCCGAAGTGGGTCGCCGTTTATAAACGGCCCCCGCATTCACTGCCTGCGCGCACTCCCTGGGAGCGGGCGGCACCACGATCTGGTGCCGCTGTGTCCAGAGGACCGATCTGTGTGAGGTACCAATTCATGTGATCCCTGATTGGCCAATCGGTGATCACATGAATAATAGTAAACAAGATGTCACTGCCTGACATCATTGCTTACTACGTGTGAAATCTGTGAATGATCACAACAGCCTTGTACCATGTACAAATTACAGCTCTCATAGCATTTCTCAATGGCTGCAAGAATGCAGCCAGAGAGAAGGAGAAATTGTTTTTATAGCCTTTATGGGTGTAAAAGCAATCATTGTAAAAAATAAAAAAAATAAAAAAAATTTAAATATCTTCATCATCCCCCACAAGTAGTTCAGTGACACTGTACTGCTAGAGTGATGGTATGTTAAAAAAAACAAAAACAAATAATGTAAAAAAAATAAATAAATTGGGAAAAAGTATACATTTTTGATTATAAAACTAATTTGGGTTATTTTGTTTACAAAAAGATAGCTGAATACATTTTAGCCAATATTTATGAAGAAAGATTTGCTAAATTTTATAAGAAAAACACTTTTTCATTTATATAGCGAAAAAATAAAATCCCAGTGGTAAATAAATACCACTAAAATAAAGTTTTATCTGTCTCAAAAAAATGCTAAAAAATTAATATGGGTACAGTGTTGCATGACCGTGCAATTGTTATTCAAAGTGTGATAGCGCTGAAAATTGGCCTGGACAGGAAGGGGGTTAGTGTGTCTGGACTCGAAGTGGTTAACTCACACGTGGTCAAACACAGAGACGTGGATGTAAGGTTCTTCAGACGTCAGATTCCAAAACACAGCTCTATGATAGCAACATTTACTTAGCCCAACACAATTACTTGTTGGTCACCGCAATGTTTATTCTGATAGTACAGTATGGGTAAATGAAAAGAATGGAGTTTATGGTTTTGAACTGTAAATCACAGGCATGTAAGAAAAAAAAAAACAAAAACAAAAAAAAAAAAAAAACAATGTTAATGAGTGAAATGGTAAAAATGCGGTGTTGCATTTTACCTCACTGATGAAGTCCGCGGTCTGTGCTCCCTGACGTCCATTACCCATCCAACATGACTTTCCACAGGTGGATTTGAACTGTGCCGGGTTTTTCTCTTTCTTGGGGTCTACAAAACACAACAGGCTGATTATTTCAAGTGCAACTCCACCTTTATGACAAATTTGGTACTGTATTTATGACTGTATTCAGAATGGTATGAGGTTAGTATATGTAATAACAGTATTCAATATGTTAAATTACATTTTTCCCCAAATCTCATTTATATTTTTCAGTACATCTACATGCAGACCAAGTCATCCAACCAAACCAACAGTGGCAGGAGTTGGGGCAAACTAACACTGTTAGAGGGAGATTTAAAGTGGTTGTAAAAACGGAAGGTTTTTTTTTAGCTTACAGCATTTTATGAAGTAAAAAAACCTTCTGCATGCAGCTTCCCTGAAACCCCCCCTAAATGCATACCTGAGCCCGATTTCGATCCAGCGATATGCATGAGAGCAAACTCCGCTCTCTTGCACCACATTGGCTCAGACACACCAGCGCGAGCCATTAGCTCCTCCTGCGGTCAAAGCCAGTGATAATGATCAGGGGCGGGGCCCCATAAGACACACAAAGAAGGGCTCAGGAGAAAGCAGGCATGATTGCCCCCAGAACAAGCAACTTGCTATGGGGGTACTTGGCGGGCGGTGGAGCCGAGAGCAGTGGTGGGGGTGACCAAAAGAGGAGTATCAAGGCTGCTCTGTGCAAAACCATTGCACAAAGTATGAAAGGTTTGTTATTTTACTAAAAAAAACAAAAAAAAACAAATCAATCAAAGCTTTACAATCACTTTAAACCTTACTAACAAATGGCGCTTGCTATAAAACACCCCTATATACAATTTTCAAAAGAGATTTCACTATAGTGGTAACATGATCTCAGAAGGAAAAACACTTGTCTGCATTTCAACAAAGGTAATCATTTTTACTTTGCAGTCAACATTTCTTAGAAGCAATAGTGGTGTGACCCTCCTGCGCTCCAAATGTGTGTTTAAAATAATTAAACCAAAATAAATAAATGTATAAACCCCAAAGAAGCTGCTAGCATTAAATCATATACCAGTGATCAAGTGAATATAAACCATAAACAATGCTGCGCTACATTCAAACTAATTTATGTGAATGTGGAATCCAACATCTCAATTCAAAAATGTGACAATAATAATGACTATATAAATCTATACGTGCTTACTGATAATCAAAATATCAAATAAATCACCCAAAAAGATGAGAAACACAAAACTGTATCTATATGTATGTGCATAAATATAATTAAATCACACGTGCATATTGTGAAGTGAAAAAATATAAATAACCATAATAATGGTACACGCAAAAAACAAAAGTCCAAAAAATAGAATGTTGTAGGTGAACAAAACAGTAAACGGTGTTTCCAAATGATACTGTAAGTGACCACAGGTGAAACAAATCATCTGAAAGCATGAGGTTCTAATGTGGACTGGCTGCTACGCAAGTTCGTTTTTATAAAAGATTATATGTTCCTATGGTATAATAAATATACTACACTATGGGAGGATTCCTTTGTCTCATTCTGAGAGATTGATATTTCAACTTTTCCTGGAGAAGAGCCTGAGTGGGAATATTAAATCCTGAAGAGCGGTTTTGGAGTGCTTTGGTGCCTGGAGGATCTGTGAGAGGGATCCATTACTGCTCTTTGACCCGCAAGGGTCGAAGGGATGAGGTGAGAGGCTAATCCAGAAGGTGGTTGGATTCATAAGATCTATATACACCCAGATACCTGCACGATTTGTTTCACCTGTGGTCACAGTATCATTTGGAAACACCGTTTACTGTTTTGTTCACCTACAACATTCTATTTTTTGGACTTTTGTTTTTTGCGTGTACCATTATTATGGTTATTTATATTTTTTCACTTCACAATATGCACGTGTGATTTAATTATATTTATGCACATACATATAGATACAGTTTTGTGTTTCTCATCTTTTTGGGTGATTTATTTGATATTTTGATTATCAGTAAGCACGTATAGATTTATATAGTCATTATTATTGTCACATTTTTGAATTGAGATGTTGGATTCCACATTCACATAAATTAGTTTGAATGTAGCGCAGCATTGTTTATGGTTTATATTTCTTAGAAGCATCATCATCCTTTGCATCTGTAATTGGTTCCTCCACCAGAAGACTGCATAAAGGCCGAGATCACAGTACAGGTAGCCTGTGGCATTTCATCTTTGGTGGCTTATTCGCACAGGGTACTGTATACCTTTGCTGGGTGGTGGAGCTCTTATCACAACACTGGGGTTGTTAATTGGCCTTAAAGTAAAATCAAAACCTCCCGCATAGTAAAAAAAAAAATTAAAAATATTATATAATATATATATATATATACATATATATATATATATACACACACACATACACACACACACACATATATACACACACACCACACACACACACACACATCTATATATACACACACATCTATATATACACACACACATCTATACATATTCATCCAGCACAAGCGGAAAGTTCTAGGTCAGTAGCTAAGAAAGAATGGCATAAGGCTAGCCTTATGCATTAAACAATTTACCAACCAAAAACCATATAATATGAGGTAAAACCTAAACACTTTCAATTTGTATCCAATCAGGCAGGCCCTTGTACCGCATTCTTGAAGGTAAATCTAAAGGAAATTGTACAAGAAAAATTGTATAAAGTATGGCCAGCCTAATTTCTATAGTTTTTGCAAACCCTTCGCAAGGGACAAATTTGAATACGAGGATAGATTTATCATCCTTAAATACCTTTTCTTTTTTATGGCTAGCCACACTGCAGCCTGGACTATTTTAGTTAAATACCTCTTTTTTTTTTTTTTTTTTTTTTGGAGGAGGAGGGAGGAGGAGGAAGGGAGGAAGGGAGGGAGGAAGGAAGGAAGGAAGGGAAGGAGGGAAGGAGGGAGGGAGGGAGGAGGAGATGGAGGAGGGAGGGGGGGGGGGGGGAGATGGAGGAGTGGGGGGGGGGGGGGGAAATGGAGGAGTGGGAGGGGGGGGGGGAGGGAAATGGAGGAGGAGGAGGGGGGGGGAGAAATGGAGGAGGAGGGGGGGGGGGGAGAAATGGGTAGGGGGGGGGGGGGGGAAATGGAGGGTAGGGGGGGGGGGGGAAATGGAGGCGTAGGGGGGGGGGGGGAAATGGAGGAGGAGGGGGGGGGGAAATGGAGGAGGAGGGGGGGGGAAATGGAGGGGAGGGGGGGGGGGAAATGGAGGAGGGGGGGGGGGGGGGGAAATGGAGGAGGGGGGGGGGGGGAAATGGAGGGGGGGGGGGGGAAATGGAGGGAGGGGGGGGGGGGGGGAAATGGAATGGAGGAGGAGGGGGGGGGGGGGGAAATGGAGGAGGAGGGGGGGGGGAAATGGAGGAGGAGGGGGGGGGAAAATGGAGGAGGAGGGGGGGGGGGGAAATGGAGGAGGAGGAGGGGGGGGGAAATGGAGGAGGAGGAGGAGGGGGGGGGGAAATGGAGGAGGAGGGGGGGGGGAAATGGAGGAGGAGGAGGGGGGGAAATGGGAGGAGGAGGAGGGGGGGAATGGAGGTGGAGGAGGGGGGGAATGGAGGAGGGGGGGGGGGGGGAATGGAGATGGAGGAGGAGGGGGAATGGAGATGGAGGAGGGGGGGGGAATGGAGGAGGGGGGGGGAATGGAGGGAGGAGGAGGCCTTCGGGAATGGAGGGAGGAGGAGAAGACCTACATGAATATGCTTTTCACTTTTTAGCACCAGTTTACTAAAAGGATGCTGCTGAACTGAAAAGAGGACAGAAAACACTTCAGGGATTTTTTTTTCCCCTGCTGAATCACACATTGCAAAGGCTTTACAATCCTACAGATCAACTGCAGCTTTAGATCTGCAAACAGACTAGAATTATTTCATGCTTCACCTGGTTATCCATGGATTTGGTTTCCTTTACCACAGGGTAAAAGCGTGGTGTCTTGGTGGGATCCTGCAGGCGTGGAGTACGGGGAGTTTTAGGCGTTCTAGCAGGTACAGATACAGGAGATTCTGGAACACCTGTGTGTAGGGAAAGAATCAGGATTTGGCGCTTGAGATTTACAAAAAAACAAATTAAAGGTCTAGAGCAGTGTTTCTCAAACTCCAGTCCTCATGGACCCCCAACAGGTCATGTTTTCAGGATTTCCATTATTTTGCACAAGTGATTTGATCAGTTTCACTGCCTTAGTAATTACCACAGCTGTTTCATTTGAGGGAAATCCTGAAAACATGACCTGTTGGGGGTCCATTAGGACTGGAGTTGAGAAACACTGGTCTAGAGTATGTTACCTTGAGGAAACGTGGGGAATATTTGGTGGGGACTCATCAGTATTTGGCTGAACTGGTAGCTCTGGTGCAAGAATGTCAAACTCTGCTTTACTGATGAGATTTAACTTCCTGAAGTTTTCGATTTCTTGCTGAATTTTGGGAGAAAAAAAAAAAACAAAAAAAAAACAAAAAGAAAAACAAATGATCACTACATAAAACCATGTCAAACAACAATCTTTATGACTGAACTACTTCTAGCACTGCAGTCAAACCAATAGTGTAAAACATGCAAAGGCTGCAAAAGAGGGATGCTTTAGTAGATGAATCTACAGTTAGACCTCATGCAGTCAATGCTTAATAGTGGAAACACATAACAGGGACATGGGGTGAGCGATATGCACAGATTACTCCACCCATTGCCATTCATTGAATGCAGTTTACATTTTAGCCAAAGTTTACACAAGGACCCCCCCACCCCTTCAACCTCTGCAGCAATGCTGGCAGCACTCATACATCTATTTCTCAAAGACCACCTCTGGATATGGCGCTGAGCACGTGCATTCAACTTCTTTGGTCGACCATGGCGAGGCCTGTTGAGTGGAACCTGTCCTGTTAAACTGCTGTATGGTCTTGGCCACCGTGCTGCAGCTCAGTTTCAGGGTCTTGGCAATCATCTTATAGCCTAGGCCATCTTTATGTAGAGCAATAATTCTTTTTTTCAGATCCTCAGAGAGTGCTTTGCCATGAGGTGCCATGTTGAACTTCCCATGATTAGTATGAGAGAGTGAGAGGGATAACACCAAATTTAACACACCTGCTCCCCATTCACACCTCAGAGTTTTGTAACACTAACGAGTCACATGACACCGGGGAGGGAAACCGGCTAATTGGGCCCAATTTGGACATTTTCACTTAGGGGTGTACTCACTTTTGTTACTAGTGGTTTAGACATTAATGGCTGTGTACTGAGTTATTTTGAGGGGACAGCAAATTTACACTTTGCTACAATGTAAAGTAGTGAGTGCACAGCTTGTATAAAAGTGTCATTTCTTCAGTGTTATCACATGAAAAGATAAAATATTTACAAAAATGTGAGGGGTGTACTCACTTCTGTGAGATACTGTATATAAGCCCTTATTTTTGCTTCATGTATCCACTATACACTTTTCCACAGATTTTAGTTAGCTAGTCAAGGCCTCATTCACATGGGTGTACTTAAGCATACAACCATGAGAGGTCCGTGTTTGCCATGCACACGCGTGTCCCCGAATGCAGACCGTGAAAGTTCAGGGACATGCACTGATGTAAAATTGGAAGTAGCAGTTGTGTCCACGCAGCCACTGCTCCCAATATTTTTATTATCATTAGAATACAGGATTTCTATAGCCCCAACAGTTTGTGCAGAGCTATACAATATAAAGGGAAACGTTACAATACAATAAAATACAAGAGGGTCCTGCTCATAAGAGCTTACAATCTAATAGGGTGGGGCAAGTGGTAGAAAAGGTTATAACTGGGGGATGAGCTGATGAAAGTGATAAAAGTTCAGTTAGCTGGAGGTGTGATAGGCTTCCCTGAAGAGATGAGTTTTCAGGGATCGCCTAAAGGCAGCCAGAGTAGGAGACAGCCAGATAGACTGAGGTAAGGAGTTCCAGAGGAGGAGAGAGGCTCTGGAGAAGTCCTGGAGATGAGAATGAGAGGAGGAGAAAAGGGAGCTGGAGAGCAAGAGGTCTTGAGAGGAGCAGAGAGGATGGTTAGGGTGATATAGCTTGGGGAAAAGTTGTGAAATGATTTATGTTAGTATTTTGAATTTAATTCGCTGGGAAAACAGAAGTCAGTGGAGGGTTTGGCAGAGAGGGGTGGCAGACACAAAACAGTTGGTAAGGTAGAGGAGTCTGGCATCAGCATTCTTGATAGATTGAAGAGGGGATAGCCTATGGAGAGGTAGTCCTATGGAGAAGAAAGTTACAATAGTCAAGGCAAGAAAGATAACAAGGGAGTGAAGGAGTAGCTTCGTGGTTTCATTAGTTAAAAGGGGAGAATTTCAGAGATGTTATGGAGGTAAAGTCTACAAGCTTTTGACAGCACCCCACAGTGTGAGGGGAGGAAACCGATACTTGCATTATTGATCTTGATGGAAAAGTCATGAAGGACACGAGTGGGGGGGAATAGTATCAGCTTGATTTCAGAGAGATTTAAAGGAAGTGGTGCGACTTCCTTGCTGATATGTTAGTTATAAATGCGAGATGAGACTGAAGGGGTGAGGTGAGGAGCAGAGAGATACATTTGGGTTTCATAGACGTAGAGGTGATATTGGAAGCCATGGAAGGTTATAAAAGTGACCAAGAGAGGAGGTTTAAATAGAGAAGAGAGTCTAAGAACAGAGCTTTAGGGAACCCCTACAGACAGAGGAAGCGGAGAGGAGGAAGCAGAGTTTTAGGAAACACTGAAAGGTGCTGTGATAGATAGAAGAACTATTGGCCATTGGATTTAGCAGTCAGTAAATGAGTTTTAGTAGAGTAGTTTCTGTGGAGTGCTGCAAGTGAAAACCAGACTAAGGGGTCAAGAAGGTCAAGCAGTTCTAGACTAAGTGTTCTAAAAGATTAGAGGTAAATGATTGAAATTGGATGGGTCTTAATTTGTTCCGGTTGTGAGGGCTTTTTAAGTATGGGAGTGATCTCTGCATGCTTTATGTAAACGAACAGAAAACAGGATAAAAGATCATATTCAGAGAGTAGTGGTTAATGATTCATACTCTGAATGGTCTAGGGTTGTCAGTGGTGTACCCAAAGGTTCAGTGTTGAGACCTTTACTTTTTAATATATTTACAAATGATATAGAGTCTGGGATTAAAAATCCCATTTCAGTCTTTGCAGATGACACCAAGCTGTGCAGTGGAATAACGTCCTTACAGGATGTCTCCAACTTACAAGCCAACCTCAATGCACTGTTTTTAATTGGGTAACTATGTGGCAAATGAGGTTTAATGTTGATAAATGTAAGGTTATGCACTTAGGGACTATGAATATGCAAGTATCATACATACTAGGGGGGAGTACAACTGGGGAAATCAATGGTGGAGAAGGATCTGTGAGTTCTGGTATATCACAAGCTTAATAATGGCATGCAATGCCAAGCTGTGGTTTCTAAAGCAAGCAAAATCCTCTCTTGTATTAAAAAAGGTATAGACTCCAGAGAGAGAGAGAGAGAGAGAGAGAGAGAGAGAGAGTGAGAGAGAGAGAGAGAGAGAGAGAGAGATATTACCCCTGTACAAATAATTAGTAACACCTCATCTGGAATACGCAGTTCAGTTTTGGGCACCAATTCACAAAAAGAACATTGGGGAACTGGAGAAAGTACAGAGAAGGGCAACCAAACTGATAAGTGGCATGGAGGAGCTCAGTTATGAGGAAAGATTAGAGGAACTGAATTTATTCTCTTGAGAAGAGGAGATTAAGGGGGGATATGATCAACATGTATAAATACATCAGTGGTTCATATAGTGAACGCAGTGTAGAGTTATTCAACTTGAGGTCATCACAGAGGACAAGGGGGCACTATTTACATCTGGAGGAAAAGAGATTTAAATCTCCAAATATGGAAAGGTTTTTTCAAAGTAAGAGCTGTGAAAATGTGTAATAGTCTTCCTCAAGAGTTGGTTCTGGCCAGCTTAGTGGATTGCTTTAAAAAAAAAAAAAAAAAGCCTGGATTCTTTCTTGGATACACAGAATATAACTGGTTACTAACATTTATAGGTAAAGTTGATTCAGGGAATATCCGATTACCTATCGGGGGATCAGGAAGGAATTGTTTTTCCCTGCAGGAGCAAATTGCATCATGCTTTGCTGGTTTTTTGCCTTCGTCTGGATCAACTGTGGGTGAAAGATTATACATTTTTTTACGGTTGAACTGGATGGACCTTTGTCTTTTTTCAGCCAAACTGTGTAACTATGCTTTAGAGAGGGGAGGGGAAAGGTGCTAGTAGAGAGGTTGAGATTGAAGATGTGAGAGCATAGGATAAAAAAAAAAAGAAGGTGACTGTAATTGTTATGAGGGAACAGGATCCAGAGGACAATTGGCTAGGTGGGCATCTGAGAAAACTTAGGTAACCTCTTCAGTAGTAGCTGGTTCAAAAAGAGGAAAATGTGCTGTTAAGACAAGGTATGTTAAGTGGGAAGATATCTGTATAGTGGAGGTGTCCTTCCATATTGCATCAATCAATCCTTTTTTTTTTTTTTTTTTTTAAAGTGATGGGTAATCTCTTGAGAAGTGAGTGAGTTAGTGGGTAGAGGGGGTGGGGGACAAAGAGTTAACAGGTATAGAAGAGACAATTATGACTGGATGATAACCATGACAAAGCATGGCAGCATGGAGCAGGAATTGTATTTTAGGAGGGCAGATTTTATATAGGGTAAATTCCTGCAGGGATTTGGTTTTATGCCACAGTCGCTCAAGAGCATGGCAATGTCTCTTCAGATTTCTGGTGTCATCAGTTTGCCAAGGTTGTAATGGTCGGGGCCCAATTCTGCATGTAGTTAGAGGAGCAAGTGTGTCCAGTGAGGATGAGACTGAACTGTTGTAGATCAAGGTGGCAGGTAAGGACAGGAAAAGTGAGAGATTTTAACATAAAGGTGGCCAGTAGCAGAATAGAGAAGAGAAGGGTTAAAGTGGTGAAGGTTTCTACAAGTGATGGTTTGCTGCTTGGAGGGATAGTTGGTTGCAGACAAGGATACTGTGAAACGGATGAGGATATGATTACAGAGAGAAAAGAGCGTTGGTGAGGTTGCCAGCAGTGCAGAGATGGGACAATATAAGGTCAAGGGTATTACCATCGGAGTGAGTGGAAGCGTGTCTATTGTGGGATGAGGTTACGGTTAGCTGTAGCCGGGCTGTTGATATTAACAGGGGATGTTAAAGTGACCAAGAATGATAGTAGGAATTTCAGAGGAGAGAAAGGCAGAGAAGTCTTCAAAAAAGCGTGATACTGGTCCAGGAGGCTGATAGATCACTGCAATCCTCAGAGAAATTAAAGAAAAAAGACAAATATAGTGCGTCTCGAAAGAAGAGAAAGATAGAGAGGGAGGGGGCAGGAAGGACTTGAAAGGTGCTCACTGGGGATAGAAGGAATCCAACTAAACCTCCTTTCTGTCCACTGGGTTTGAGTGAGTCCACTGGAGGCCATCATGGGAGAGGGCAGCAGGAGAGTCAAAATCTTGAAGCCAGGTTTCAGTAATGGGAAGCATGTTAAAGCAATGGGAGATAAAAAGGTCATGCACAGATGTGATGTTATTACAGACAGAGAGGGCACATGAGATTGGGGGGCCGATTTTGGGAAGGAAGGGGATAGAAATTAAGTATAACGCAGCTGTTGCCAGAGGAGGAAGGGTGCCAGATATAGGGACTGCAGTTAGAAAATGGAAAGCCAGGATTGAGAGAAGGAGGGTGTGGAAAATAAGATGGGACCAGTATGTATATGAGTGAACATATCTCACTGCCCTGCTGTTTAGGTCAGCATGTGGGTTCAGTATTTGTTGGTTGTAATGGGTGCAGTAATAGCAAGAGGGTAGGAGTGACGGAGAGATATATACGTTGTGGGGTAGAGAGGAGGGGTAAAGCAAGGACAATTTGAGGACAGAGCACACTAATGTGAGAAGGAAAGCAGAGAGACATGAAGAGGCCTGCACATGGATGCATGGAATACCTGTATATCCTGCGTGGGCACACACAGGCCATGCATGGGTGTACACCTAAAGTACACCCGTGTGAATGAGGCCTAAAATGTGATGTCAATCAAATTTCCATGTGAAAAATTACAAGAAATCAGTGTAAAACATGCTGCATTTGATTTTACTGCAGAGAAAATATATTACTTTGTAAAGTTAAGGTTGTAAATTACTCCAAATAAACAGAGTGAAAAATACCTTCAATGCTAGGTGATCTGTTTCACTATCCGCCATCCATAGGTCCTGCTCATAATAGTACAGCCCATCGTTAATAGCCTTGGCTAGTTCAGATGTAATTTTGGCTCGTGAAGTGTGATTTCCTGTACGATCTCCACCTGGATGCTTCTTAAGGTAAGGTGGGGTCTGTGTGACAATAAGGATTTTATTCAGGTCTTGATCATCAATCTCATAATCCGAGTCTTCATCAGACCAGTCTGTGAAGTTATTTTTGCGTCCCTGTAGGTGTTCCATCTCCTCATCAAACATGAAGTCTAGCTCTTCTTGCTCCACTTCCTCAGTCGCTTGTTTTGGAGTTACTGGACAGGTCTCTGCTTCCTGTAATGGGACACGTTTCAATGACTCTGCTACACCATATAGTACAGTTCATTTCGAAGTGAAAACCCAGCAAATTAAGACATTAAATATTCAAACCATCTGTATACCTTTGGCTTTGTGGGAGAAGCTCTGTGTCTTCTCTTTACTTCAATCCATGGTTCAGAATCCAGATCAGGCAGACTGGCAGATAAACCTTTTGACATTGTCTGCAGGTTGCTGGGTTCTAAACTTCTTTCTGGAAAGAGAAGACTTCCTTTCCTAGGAGAATTAGGAGCAGATCCTAGGAAGAAAAGGGAGAAGAAACAGGTATTTTAAAAATCAGACTACAGCATTTCTGAATTGGACATGCTTCTGTTTTCATAATCTACTATGGCTTTTTGTTTCTCTGCATGAAAACAAATACTTTATTGGAGAACACTGTAGTTACAAAAAAAAAAAAAAAAAAAAAATGCAGTATAAAAACCTTACACCAGAAGTGCATCGCAGTTTACAGAACATAGATACTATATCAGAGACCTAGAGATATATATATATATATATCTATATATATATATATATATCTATATATATATATCGCACCAAATAGATTTGAAAACATTTTTCACCACAATGAGTAGTAACTTGCCCATTACGTCAAAGTGTTGCTATACAGTATTAGTTGAGAATAAAAAAATAAAATAAATAAATAATCATAGTGTTTCAAGCTGGTATTATACAAAAATGGGGGGCACCACCTGCCTGGAGTCTGCATGCTCTCACAGTGCCTACGTGGGTTTCCTCTGGGTATTTTGGTTCCCTCCCACACACCAAAGACATGCTGGTACGTTAACTGGCTCCAGTCTAAAATTGGCCCTGGTATGTGTATGACTAAAGATGGGCTGATGATCAGATGAAGCTTTGTATTCATTGATAGAATACATTTGCTTTCTATGTGTGGCTGAGAGCTGCTCAGACAGACTATTGTGTTCCGGGTCTGAGACAGGAAGGTCTCGGCTCACGCCTGGAACTCAGTGCTGTTTGTAGCCTCAGCTACATTCAGTTTATACAGCACATCCAGTGGCCTCCCATGTTAGTGAGGGACATAGTTTGTTTGGCTTAAGCCTGGCAGACAAACTATGTAAAGTGTACCAAAAGATGTAGTTTAGCTTTAACTGCATTTATCCAATGTGTAAATACTGAAAGCAAAACCTTCATCCAGGAATTTCCCACTAGTATTTTAGCTGCATAGAAATAAAAAGGTTCTAAAATACTGATCTAGATTATGATCAATCATTCAGAGTAAACATATTTTGAGAGCTAATCCCACTGAGGAACCCATTGTATTTAGAATTTCTACTGTATTTTTTTTTCACCAGTTATGGGCATGCCTGAAAATTCAGTAAAGTACCAAGCGCCAGTTAACATTTGACAGAGTGGGCCATAGTTGGATGCAAAGTTAGATAGGTTAACTGGAGTAAGGTAGGCCCTACGAATGATATGTAGTTAAGTTTGTCAGAGATTTTAAGTGAGATATCAGTGAGCAGAGCAAGTTTCCTCCCATTCATCATCCACCCATTTTTTCCTGTGAAATTCTGTCACCTGCACTGGCGGCATAAGTAAGCGTTGATGAATCTTGTAGATGAGTTTGGTTTATGTTGGAGTGTTAAAGATATCAGAAAGAAGGTTTTCTGGTAGTCCACCCTGGAAGCTCTGACCCTGGGCTGCATGTTGGATTTGGAGTATTGAAATAGCAAAATAAATATGAATATTTAGAACTCTAATGGGCTGATGGAACTTAGTTTTAAATTTTATAAAAAAGGATTTTACTTTAATTTCTAGAATATGATCTAGACAGGAAATACCCAGTATGAACCAATTTTTGGGGTGTGAGATTGAGAAAAGGTTCAGGTAAAGTTGTGTTTTTTTTCCAAAGAGGAGTTTGTACATTTTAATAGCACAGAATCCTATACTTTCAGGGACTGAAATAATTTTTGATCTGAGGTAGTTTAAGATTGGTGCCTTTGAAACCATGAGATAAAAGAAGAGGGTCAAAAGACTCATTTGGGTCAAACATTTTTTTCCTTCTAGATATTTGTGTTTTTATATAATCTTTACACTCCGGGAGCAAAATATGAAAATACCTGGAAAAAAAAAAAAGAAAAAAAAAGGAAGGCGAGAGCAGACCGATTGACATAGCCTGGTTAGGGGGCTTCTTTAGTAAGGTTGTTATGTTAGAGCTATTATTTTTTGGTTCTGGTCCTGTGAGGCCTCTGGTTATAGGTTTTGTGGTGTTCTATTGTAAATTGTGTTTACATATGCAAAACTCAATAAAAAGATTAAATAAAAAAAAAAAATAATGAGAACAGGAAGAGTACCTGTGTGATATGCCTGCAGATTTCCAGGTACAAACTCAGGGCAGTTGATGAACCGGGTGAAGTCAGTACGTGTCACTTCTTGAGTTGGAGTAGTGGGAATGGGCCATCTTTCTGGATCAACCTTTCTCCTTATTTTCTGGTCCACCAGTTCTACCTCTGTGCTGTCTTTCAAAGCCTAAACATTCATATACTCATTATTTGTTTACACACACACCTACTACTATAGCTCATTACATAAAAATGTTAATATACCTTAGAGTACAAAATCTTCAGTTTTACTCAAATCAGTTGATGCAAAATGGAATACACCCTCATCTACATCTAGTATTTTTGTATGACCTCCATGATTTGTAAGGACAGCACCAAGTCTTCTAGGCATGGAATGAACAAGTTGGTGACATATTGCAACATCTATTTCCATTCTTCAAGAACGACCACTTTTAGAGCCTGGATGCTGGATGGAGAGTGATGAACAACTTGTCTCTTCAGAAAAGGTGTTCATTTGAGTTCAGATCAGGAGACATACTTGACCACTAATTCATTTTCACCCTGTTCTTCAGAAATGCAACCGTGATCTTAAATGTGTATTTTGGATCATTATCATGTTGGAAAATGCACAACATCAAATAGGAACAAAGTGACGGTAGCATCTCTTTCATTATAGAGTAGTACATCTGTGAACTCATGATACCATCAATGAAGTGACTCTTCTTGACACCAGCAGCACTCATGTAGCCCCTCAGAAGGACACTCCCACTACGTTTCACTGTGGCACCTTTCACTCCAGAGTACAGAGTCCCAGTAGTCTTTTCAGCATGGGCCCTGGCACATTCTAGCTGGGCTTTTTTTTTTGCATGCACTTCCTTCCTGGACGACACCCATGCATACCATTACTCTGCCACGTACACTGTATTGTGTCACAGGAAACATTCACCCCAGTTTGGGTTTCTACTTTGTTTAGCTAACTGCAGTGAACGTGCATGGCAATTTTCTTCAACACATCAGAAGATGCTCCTGTCAAGGTGTTAACCTCCGTGGACGGCCTGAACGTCTGTGAGATGGTTGCAGTTCCATCTTTGGTAAATTTTTGTATCACTTTTGCTACAGTATTCTGACTGATAAAGCTTTGCTGATCATCTTGTAGCCTTCACCTTTCTTGTGTAAAGAAATTATTTTCTTTCTCAAGCCTTGTGACATTTCTCTTCCATGTGGTGCCATTGCTGACAGCATGAAATGGGAGGGGTTTTCTTTAAGTAACTCCCTATTATAATCAACTGTCTGCTGGACACCTGTTTAATGAATAATTAGACTCACCTGTAGTTGAATTCTTGGCAATTAGGATTTTGTTGTCTAAAAGCTCCTAAAGACTTTCATTGGGTGTATTCATTTTTGCAACATGGTCTTGAATGAATTTGTAAGGAAAAAATATTTTTTTTTGTGTGTGCAAATTAACAAATCTTGTTTGCAATCACTGGCCCACATTTGTGGTAGTATTTTGTAGTATAGTGTCCCCATAGAATATGTTGATTCATATATGTATGTGCATATGCACACATTATCTATCCCACATGCTTTGTAAACATGTCACATGTCACCCAGGATTGGATGTGGATTAAAAAAAAAAAAAAAAAAAAAAAAAATGTGAACAGAAATTATAAACACCAGCCACTTTATTAGGTATATCTGTTCATTTGCGCAGTAACACAAAATTGCTAAAATCAGCCAATCACATGGCAGCAACTCACTGCATTTAGGCATTCAACATGGAGAAGAGGACTTGCTGAAGTTCAAACCAAGCATCAGAATGGGGCAGAAAGGGGATATAAAGTGACGTTGAACGTGCCATGGTTGTTGGTGCCACACAGGCTGGTCTGAGTATTTCAAAAACTGCTAATCTACTGGGATTTTCACACACAACCATCTATAGGATTTACAGAGAATGGTCCAAAAAAGAAAAAAAAAAAAAAAGATAAAATATCCAGTGAGCGGCAGTTGTGTGGACGAAAATGCCTTGTTGATGTCAGAGGAGAGAATGTGCAGACTGGTTCAAGATGATAGAAAGGAAACAGTAACTTAAACATGAAAGCATGGATTTAATTGTGTGGGGAATATTTTCTTGGAACTAGTAAGGTGTACCTAATAAAGTGGCCTTGGACTGTATGTAAACGATCAGTTTACATACAATGTATATATTTAAATAAAAATATCTAAAACCATTGCACTGTAGTTTCAATTTAAAGACTATTGCCAGATCATGAAGTCATGGATGCAATGTTGTTCACACTTGATAGCTCTAGCTATGGGCAATCTTACACAACAAAGAATTCTACTACTGACATCATGAAAGCAAGTTATATGAGACATTTTTCCCCACGCGTGTAGATTAAATGTATTCATTCAGTTTTAAGATATGGCAGGCATTACCTCACAAATCTTACTGACATCGGTGGTCAAAGACTGCACCCGACGGAAGCCTGCTATCAGGGAGAGAGGCAAAAATCCTTGAGCATCCATTTTTCTTCTCAAATAAAAATCCCTCTCCAAGTTTTCCAAACTGAAATAATATTCACTGCAAGGGAACAGCGAGAACAATACGGGTATTATGCATCAGTTTTACAAAACCATTGAATCCATTTTAAAATGCATCAGTAACCCACAAACACACACTTACATCTGACGTTTCAGGTACTCCTTCAGCAGCTTTTCATCTAAAGGATAATACTGCACACCAGTTCCATAATCATAGCAATACACCATACTTCTGCGGTTTCCAACTGAGTCAGAGTGAAATGGCTCATTCCCCTTACGAACACCATACTGAACTGTGATAGAGAAAAGAAAGAAAAAAAGGAGGAATGTTCACAATTCTTTGACATTCTCCGTGTTTGCGTTTACTCTAAAAGAGGAACTTCATCTTCATGTCCAACAATACACACAGGGTAAAAACTATATTGGAATGTACACGGTGTTAACACAAATGAAGATAAAAACAAGACAAAGCATGACATCAGGAAACAATTGAAATGGTTACCTGCAGCCAATCTGTACTGCTCATGATTGCAACTATTTTAATCTACCACCTATACATTTCCCCGACAGCCTTTGAGGTTCTAAAATTCATTATTTTCAGTATATTCTGTGGAAAACTACATGCAGCTGCAATTTAAATACACATATAGATGGTACCCAGCAGCTATCAAAGAGAAGACATGGCTCATAATGTAGCCACTCATCACTTGTACACCAAGCAAAAATGATTCTTTAAGGTCTTGTTGGCATATGTTTCAGCTTGTATAAGAGCAGCATGCACAGAAGGCTTTCAACAGACTTTAAATTGCTTGAATAAAAAGACTTTAAAAAGCACCATTCAGCTCCAGTTTGGGGACATTAAGCTCAAATCTTAATGCGAGTGCTGACTGTTACTTTAAGCAAGCTGCTAGCAAGATTCAGCACTTGAAGCTGGTTGAAAGATTTCTAGCAGCTTGTTTAAAGTGCAAATTATCACCCCCATTAAGATCTAGGTTTAACATCCCTATAGTAAAGTATTCTTCGAAGGCCTCAGCAAAGCTGCTTAAAGCAGAACTAAAATTCCACTGTTGTTCACTGCAACAATGCAGTTTTTTTTCTTTATTGCATAAGAGACATACAATGTATTTTCTGTTATAATATACACTTACCTGCCTGTGTGCAGTATCCCCCAGCATGTAAACTGAACTGCGCATGTGCAGCTCAGCTTACAGCAGCCAGTGCAATCCCCGTGTGCCGGAATGACAGTGTGGGAGAGATGTCACCCTGCGCGGACCAAAGAAGACAGCCCAAAACTGGCACGCAGGAAAAGATGTTGGCACCGGTGAGGGACAGGACCGTTTAAAGGAAAGGCAAGTATAAAACTGTTCAATTTTAAAGCTAGCCCAAAGCTTTACAAAATGCTTGCTGTACACACTTCTGAAAGTAAAAAGGCTTCTGAAAACTGAAGATCATGTGAACAATACCATACAGACCTATTTATCAGACCTTTGTCCAGATACAATACCAATTCTAAAATCAGTCCATTTAAACTAAAAACTATAAAGGCTGATACTTCAAGTATGCAACTGTAATTTCTTTTTACTCCCAAGTGGCAAAAAGATTTTGCAACATGTGGCAGCAGCAGGAATTAGTCTAGGTCAGCAATGGGCAAACTACAGCCCGCGGGCCGTATACGGCCCGGCAGACCTTTTAATCCGGCCCGCGGAGCGTATGTAGGCAGGGCATGTGTGTAGGGGGGGGTAGCGTGATGAACGTGAGGGGAGCTAGGCTCCTCTCACAGTCTGCCCTGAAGACCGGAACAGCGCGGGAACTCGGCGAGAGGAACGCGCGGAGCAAAGGTAAGCAAATTGACACAGAGGGGACTTGGCTTACTACTTGGGGGGGAATAGTACTATGGGGGATGAAATACTATATGAGGGATGAATTAATATGGGGGATGAATTACTATGGGGGATGAATTACTATGGGGGATGAATTACTATGGGGGAATATTACTATACTTACTATGGATGGCATGGTAGTGTTTAAATTAATCTAAAAATTTAATGTTACAAATTTTAATTTAATTTATATTAATTCACACATACACATCATTCATCTACTCTTGGTCCGGCCCCCGGGTCCAATATATGAACCCATTGCGGCCCTCAAGTCAAAAAGTTTGCCCACCCCTGGTCTAGGTTCACACCTATGCATTTTCCATTGCATTTTGGAGAAACGCACAGCAGTCCATTTAATATGGATTTCCTATGGGACAGGTTCACATCTCCACGTTTTCACTCGGTGCATTTTGTGGAAAAGGTCAGGGACTTTTTTAAATGCAAAACGTTGTATTTTTGGTTCTATAGACTTCAATGGAGAAGCTGCAGAAAAGCATGTAGTGTGTTTTAATCTGCCCAGCAACAAGTTGTGAAAAAAAAAGCAAGACGCATCAAAAAACGCAAAACGCACTGCAAGAAGCACTGCAGAAACAGATCAAACGCAAACTGCATAGGTGTGAACCTATCTTTTGGGAAGTGCTACTATGCATTTGACACAATGTAGCAATCAGTAGAAGCTTTTAAAAAGATTATATACCAAATAAAAACTTACTACAGTATGCGGTGGGACATTACCATTCAAAACTGAGCTACACCATTCAGAACCAGAAATGCTGGTTCTGAAAAGACAGTTGAAATCCAGAAAAGAAAAAAAACATTTGAAATAGAAGAATAGTGCTTATTATTTAGATCTTACCTTTCAAAGACGAATACATTTAAGACACCTTAAAATGCATTTCATTTGGTTTCCTGTCCTGAATAAATTAATACAAAATTACAGCGGGTAAAGTATTGAACACATCACCATTTGTCAAGGTGAATATATTTCTAAAAGGTGCTATTGACATGAAATTTTCACATGTTGGCAACAACGCATACAATCCATACATACAAACCAAAAAACAAAATCAGTTCAGAAATTAAGTTATATGTAATAAAATGGAATGACACAGGGAAAAAGTATTGAACACGCTAACTGAAATTTATTTAATACTTGGTACAAAATACTTTTCTTGGTAATGATCGCTTCAAGACGCCTCCTGTATGGAGAAATTAGTCGCAATCATTGCTCAGGTGTGATTTTGACCTAGTCTTCTACACAGTCTTCACATATTGAAGGTTCCGTTGGCCTCTTCTATGAACTCTATTCGTTCTTTCCATATATTTTCTATTGGCTTCAAGTCAGGTGATTGGCTGAGCCATTTCACCAGCTTTATAGTCTTTGAAAAATTAAAAAGTTTCTTGGCTTTGTGTTTGGGATCATTGTCTTGCTGAAATGTCCACCCTCATTTCATCTTCATAATCCTGACAGATGGCAGCAGATTTTTATCAAAAATGTCTTGGTACATTTTTCCATTTATCCTTTCTTCAAAAGATATGAAGTTTGCCAGTACCATATGCTGAAAAACAGCCCCACACCATATTGTTCATACCTCCATGCTTCACTGTTGGTATGGTGTTTTTAGGGTGAAGTGCACTGCCATTTGAACCCCAAACATGCTGTGTATTATGGCATCCAAAAGAATTCAATTTTGGTCTCATGTGACCAGACTAAATTCTCCCAGTTTTTCACAGGCTTGTCTAAATGTTGTGCAGCAAACGTTAAACAAGCTTCAACGGCTTTTTCTTCAGCAATGGAGTCTTGCGTGGTGAGCGTGCATACAGGCCATGGCGACTGAGTACATTACTTATTGTTTTCTTTGAAACAATTGTACCTGCTAATTCCAGCTATTTCTGAAGCTCTCCACAAGTGGCCCTTGGCTCTTGGACAACTTTTCTGATAATTCTTTTCACTCCTCTGTCAGAAATCTTGCGAGGAGCACCTGGTCATGGCCAGTTTATGGTGAATTGAGGTTCTTTCCACTTCCAGATTATGGCCCCAGCAGTGCTCGTTGGAACATTCAGAGATCTAGAAATCCTTTTGTAACCAATGCCATCAGTGTGTTTTGCAACAATAAGGTTGTGATGGTGTTTAGTGCTCTTTGCTTTTACCCATCATGAGATATTTCTTGTGTGACACCTTGGTACTGAGACACTTTTTTATAGGCCATCAGTTGAGACTGAACCAGCTGATATTAATTTGCACTGACAGGATTGCCTTCTAATTAGCAAAAGATTTCAGCTAATGTCTTGGCTTTCCATGCCTTTTTGCACCTGCCTTTCTTCAGGTGTTCAATACTTTTTCTCTGTCACATTCCATTTTATTACACACAACTTAAATTTCTGAACTTATTTGTTTTGGTTTCTTTGTATGTATGGATTGCATGGGTTGTTACCGATATATGGTGAAAATTTCATGTCATTAGCACCTTTAGAAATAGAATTACCTAGGAAAATGGTGACGTGTTCAATACTTATTTTACCTGCTGTATCTACACTGCCCTTTGGACTTTAATCTTGTATATTGTGTTTAAAAGCTGTGTGTTAAATCATAAAAAAAGATCGAGAAAAGTGCAGACATACTTTGCAACAGGGCTTAAACGAATGGGTGGTAACTTTGTGGAAAGGCTGCCCAGAATACTGAAGCAATTACTCTTCATATGTTTGGGCAATGTTTGCCAAAAAGGCAACCACCCAATAAAATGGGTGACTGCATAAAGTAGAACTCCAGACAAAGACCAAAAGTAGCCTTTTGAAATCTAGAATAAAAAGCAGCCTTAGTTGAAATATTCATTTTTGAGCCAGAAATGTTCCCTGCAACAAGAAGCTTTGTGCTCTTGTACAATATAAATTTATTTTTTTATTTATGTATTTTTAAAGAAAAAGGTAATTGTAATCAGTGAAATATCACATTATGCTGTATATAATTTATTTTTTATTGACAATGGTAAAAAGATTTTAATTTGCAAGCTGGGTAAATCTGAACTATTGCATTCTTCTTTTGAGCCATCAGGTGGAGCTGTAGGACCTTTTATAATTTCCAGTCTCTTGTGTTGCTGTAAAGTCTTACAGAACTTGATAATACAGCATTTTACAAACTGTATTGACAAAAAAAAAAAAAACGAAAAAACACAGCTAGAATAACATTGTCCCAATACCATTTAGTTTCTCCTTAAGATGACCTCACAGGAGACCATTAAACATTTATTTAGCTGCAGATATTTAAATGATTTTTCAAACTGGGAGGAAGAAATAATCAATGCAAATTATAATTTTCAACGAAAGTTACTATATCAAAAAAGCCATCAGAGCATAAAATAAATTATGTTGCAAGTACTGTATTCATTACTTACAATAAGAATGCCCTCTTCCTCTGCCTCTTCCACGGCCTCCTCTTCCTCGTCCTCTAAAGTTTTCCCTAACACCGCTAGATTCACTTCTTGTGCTTGAGACCTCATCTAGGTCACTTTTTCTATCTCGCTGCCACCCTGTAAAAACACACATCTTCTTTAACCAGCTTGTATACACCCTCTTCATTACTAGGTTTCGTTCCAGTGCTATGATAGTTTGAATGACAATTACTCACATTATGTGACACTGTACCAAAATTAATTTTATGTTTGTGTTTTTTTAATTTTTGAAAAGAAAAAGAAAAAAAAAAAAAAAAAAAAGAAGTTTTCCTTACGGTTATAAAAACACAGCAAATAAAAATGCCAGGATGAAAAACACCCAAAAAAACTACACCTTTATGGAAAGACACCCCGAGATTATTTAATTTTTTTGACACAATGTTTTGAACATGGATAAACATGATGGCAATAAGGGGGTTAAAACAAAGATTAGTACACTAGATACATGTCATACACAGAGAGAGGAGGAAGTTCAGAGGTTAATGCTCAGGTCACAGTGGGAAGAAAGGGTTAATGTACAGATGTGCAGGATAAGGGGTTAACATACAGGTCACCACAGAGAAAGGATGGAGCTTATCTATGCAGGAGAAGGGGTGGAAGCAATTGTTGGAATGGTTCATTAGTGCTGCTGCAAATCTGGAATTAATGAACGAACCATTCATTTACTAGTTCCTCCCCTTCTTCTATTGTAAGAGGAAAGGGAGGGATTACCAAAGTAAACACACTATACTGTTACATTTGCAATTGCTGTCATTGGCTCTGTACATAGTGTATCAGCTGAGCCATCTGAAGACAGCTTGAGTGTCCTGGCTGCCCCAAGACGATTTCTGAAATCCCACTTAAAGAAATAGATGTCCACCATATTTTTTTTTTAATTTTACAATATGGTGGTAGTGACGTGGTTAAGGTAGGTTCACACTACTGCGACTGCGATTTGATCCCATTTTCAGTCCAATTACATAGTGTGACTTGGTTGTGTTTTGAAGCGGTTTTTGATGTGATTAACATGCCTCTGTTTTTGGCCAATGATAAGCATATCTGCGGTTACATTTAAAAAAAGGCATCCTCTTCCTCTTTACTTCCTTGCCTGTCTCTATTGTGTGTTGGTTAGGCAGTTATGTCCTCCATCACTGGTTATGGCAGCAGTCGTTACAGCTACTGCCGCAATGTTGATTAACCACTAGCCTACAGGGCACTTATACCCCCTTCCTGCCCAGGCCAATTTCCAGCTTTCAGCACTGCCACACTATGAATGACAATTGCGCGGTCATGCAACACTGTACCCATATGAAATTTTTATAATTTTTTTGTGACAGCTTTATTTTGGTGGTATTTAATCACCTCTGGGTTTTTTATTTTTTCTTAAACAAAACCAAAAATCACAGAAAAGTTTGATTAAAAAAAAAAAAGTTTTTTTCTTAGTTTTTGTTATAAAATTTTGCAAATAAGTGATTTTTCTCCTTCACTGTGTGCTAATGAGGCTGCAGTGATGGGCACTGATAGGCTGCACTGATGGACACTGATAGATGGCACTGATGGGCATTGACAGGCATCACTGATGGGCACTGAAAGGCAGCTCAGATGTGCACTGACATGTGGCATTGATGTGCACTGGTAAGCACTGATGGGCACTGGCAGGTGGCATGGATGAGCACTGATGGCCACTGACAGGTGGCACTGCTGGGGCTACACTGATCATCAGTGCCCTGATGATCAGTGCACATGTCCCCTCCGAGGAATGCCGATTACCGTGACAGCTCGTGAGAAGAGAAATGCCGATAACCGGCATTTCCCTGTTTTCATGCGATCAGCTGTGATTGGACACGGCTGATCACATGACCGAGCCGACATCTTTGGCTCTTTCCGTGGATCGGTGATCCGCTGTGTTCGAGGGACACAGTGCACCGCCGATCGCCGCATGGTGAGAATGGGAGGACGTCATATGACATCCTCCCAGAACAAGAGAACCGCCTCGCGTCCGTCATTGGACTATATGGTGGGCGGGAGGCGGTTAAAGAGGAGCAGGGAAGAGGAAGCATAGACACAGGATCCAGGTCATATATAAAGACCTCCATGCACATATAGAAAAGTTCAATTACACATGCATGTCAATAAAAAGGTGACTACAAAGGCTTATCCTCATTAGATTTGTTTGAGGGATGTGCATGGGAGGAGGGCAGTAGATGAGGTTAAAAAGACAAACCTTTGTTTGGCCATACTTCTCTTCTCCCGAGTCACAGGAGTGCACTTATTTTTGCACTACTATAACCCAGATTCAGGCGACTGTGAGCAGACATCGCAGAGTCGGTCCCAGGCTCTGGAAAGATCCTGACAAAGGCTGAGATTTACTCAGATGCCTGACCATCAGCTGGCTCAGCCTCTCAATGTGCAGCTAAGAATCTGAGCCAGCTGCTTCTGCCCCCTCCACAGCCTGACACTCCAGTGAGTGCTGAAGGGACAGCGCAGAGAGCAGTGACTGACAATCACCGCTCTCTGCTCAGTGAAGACTGAGGATGGAATGATCAGCAGCTATGTGATCTCTCAGTTCTCGGGGGATAGCGGCAACATTGGACCAATGCTGCAGCTATATAGCTGAGCATGTACAGCGGGTAAAATAAGTATTGAACACGTCACCATTTTTCTAGGTAAATAGATTTCTAAAAAAGGTGCTATTGATATGAAAATTTCACCACGTCGGTAACAACCCATGCAATCCATACAAGAAACCAAAATAAATAGGTTCACAAATTAAGTTATATGTAATAAAAAGGAATGACACGGAAAAAAATATTGAACACATGAAACAAGAGATGCAAAAAAGGAACTGAAAGCCAAGACAGAAAGATTTCTAAACTTCTGAATGTTCCAGTGGGCACTTTTGGGGCCATTTCACCATAAACCGGCCATAACCACGTGCTCCTTGCAAATATTTATTAGAAGAGCTGTCCAAGAGCCAAGGACCACTTGTGGAGAGCTTCAGAAAGAGCTGGAATTAGCAGGTACAATTGTTTCCAAGACAACAATAAGTAATGCACTCTGTCACCATGGCCTGTATGTACGCTCACCACGCAAGACTTCAATGCTGAAGAAAAGCATGTTGAAGCTCGTGTACAGTTTGCTGCACAACATTTAGACAAACCTGTGAACTACTGGGAGAATATACAGTGAAGGAAATAAGTATTTGATCCCCTGCTGATTTTGAATGTTTGCCCACTCACAAAGAAATGATCAGTCTAAAAACCAAATGGTAGGTATATTGTAACACAGAGACAGAAGAGCAACAAAAAAAATCAAAAGAAATGCATGTCTAACAAATGATGCACTGATTTGCATGTTCATGAGGGAATTAAGTATTTGATCCCCTGTCATTCAGCAGGATTTCTGGCTACCAGGTGTCTTTCATACAGGTAACAAGCTGAGATTAGAAGCAGTCTCTTAAAGGGAGTGCTGCTAATCTCATTTTGTTACCTGGGTGCTTTTCAGTTGAAGTGCATTGTTCCAAAATCGCCAAAGTAATACAGGACCCTTTTCTAAAATTGTCACGTTGTGCTGCATTGATGTGAACAGGCACCACTGAAAACAATGTGATTTTCTTTGTCATACGATTCTGTGGGACTCATGCCACATCTGAAATTGCACTAGTATGAACTAGACCTAAAAAGGTAAACTGTCACAAAGCATGGTACTTGTGTGAAAGCCTCAGGCAAGAGCTGCCATTGTCCAGCTCTCCAAATTCATACTAGTTCCAGAATTTTCACATCACTGTAATTAGGTTCAACTTCACTAGCCTGGAACTAGTGTGTGGTACTAAACAATACGACCTAACAGAACTGTTCATCTCTACTTTGTATACTGCAGCCACTGGTTTATTCATGTCAAATACCTTTTTGTGTTGGCAGTCTCTTAACCCCTTCACATCTAAGGGTAAAACAAATCTTAAAGCCCAAGAACAGTTTTGCAACATTGACATGTGTTAGCAAAAAACTGTACATATCACCACAACTACTTTGCGCATCCAGGTAGATTATACCTTGTTTTTTTTTCCAGGACAAAATTGGGCTTTCATTTGGTGGTAAATAGTAATGGATATCTCCTGATTTTTTTTTTTTATCATCATCAAGAGGAAAACTGACCCAAATAATAAAAAAACAAAAACACACACACACACACACATTGCTTGTTCTTATCCTGCCACTAAACTGACACGGATACCAAATTTAAAAAAAATTAAAAATCCTGACCAAAAAAAAAAAAAAAAAAAAAAAAAGTCCCTTGACCCTGACCTTTAACCCCGACTTTGACCTAAACACTGATCCTGGCATTGACCTAGATCAAACCTTGATCTAGGTATTTATTTTTTTATTATTATTTATTTTCTACAAAACACTCCCCCCCCCCCCCCCCCCCCCCCTCTCTGAAAGGGCAAAAAGAGATATAATGCATCTCTCTCCTCCACTCAGACAGCGTAAACAAGGGGGGTGGGCTTCACAGTGACTGATCACCGTGATATCCAGTCAGAGGCTTTCACCGCGATCATGCAACAGCGATTCATGTGAATCGGGAGTTCCAAGTCCCGACTGTTAGAACGGGACCCGAGGCTCTCACTGACACCCTGGTCTTTGTGCTGGGAGCGCACCATGTGGCGCACTCCCATCACAAAGACAGGTATGAGAATTAGCAGCACCATGGAAAAAAGCCCAGTCCAGTGGGGCTGCTAATTTACGTATGCTCGGCGCCAAGGGGTTATATTAAACCCAAAAATTTCATCTATTGCAGCTTACCGATGAGTAGATGTGGTGGCTGCATTAACTAGGATTTTCTCTCCCCTCTGTTTTCACCTGGTGATCTGAGCAGTAACACACTTTATGAATTAGAGTGACCCCACTCTGGAAGAATGAGCACAGCACCTTTGGACAGCAGAATTGTCAGTCTGGGGGGAGAAGTGTTCAATGTACTAGCAGATTTAGATACAGTAACAAAGTGAGGCAAATCCAGCTAACACTTTATAATCAGTTAAAGCAAACATTTGGTTTTTTTTTTTTTTCTTTCGGGATAAAGGATTTACATGAATAAATAAACGCTCATCCCCATAAAACAGATAAATCAGGAAGAGAGCTTCTTTGTTGAAAAACAAATGCAGCCATTACATATGAGGATTGGTAAACTGCAATAGAATTAAATGTCTGTTTTTGGGTTGAATACTGCTTTAACATACTATGAGAGCCCATTCACACTAGGAGCTGCATGTAAAATCACACAGGAACGCTGTGCAGTTTGATTTAAGCCCATTCATTATATATGGGCTGAAATCACACCTAAAGTAGTGCATGTACTACTTTTTGAAATGTACTGCAACTGGATTACATGGTACTTTTGTGTGGTCACTGGGTTTGTCACTTGTGTCTGCAGCAGGTGTTGATACAAAATAAATGACACCCCAGATTGCAAAAGAGGTGCAAGAAACCGCACGGGAACTTTGGTTTCCCAAACCACGTTCTAGTATGAATGGGCCCTAAATCTTTCTTGAGATAATTTAAAATGTAACTTTTTTTTTTAAAGTCCAACTCCAGCCAAATATTTTCAAGTATAGCTTAAAGTGGAGAAAAATTAGAACTAGAACTCCTGTTGGGTTAAAATGTGTTTTGCGCCCAAGTTGATGACATCTGATACTCATAGCAATGGGAAAGTTCCCTCATAGGCAACCAGACAATATCCTTGCTCACTCTAATAAAATGTGTTTTTATTATTGCCTGTGCCCCCATTGGAGGGAATTTCCCTCTTGTGGTTTTGCTTGACACCAATCAAATAGACAGGAAGGAGGAGAAACCTTCCAAACAGGGGCATCAATAGTAATAGGCAGTTAAGAGGTCTTGACCCTTCCCCAGCCCAACCAAAACCAAGAACGTTTTGGCTGTAGTTGGCCTTTTAAATAATTTAAACTACAAAATTTCAAAAAAAGTGCTCATGTTCACCTCAAAATATACTACACATAAGCAAGTGGAAAATTGATTTGGCTGTAAGTTCTCGTCAATATAGTATATGTCAGATACCTGGCCACTTCATTACTAAACTATTGGGACACCCCTCCAACTGTCAACTGTTAGCAGTATAACAACAACAACGTGGAAGAAACTGGGAAAAACAGCAACTCAGCCACAAAGTGGTAGGCCACATAAAAAAAAAAAAAAGAGCAGGGTCAGCACATGCTGAAGCACACAGTGTGCAGAAGTCACCAACTGTCTACAGAGTCAATAGCTAAAGACCTCCAAAAACTTCATGTGGCCTTCAGATTAGCACAACAGTGCGTAGAGAGCTTCATGGAATGGGTTTCCATGGCTGAGCAGCTGCATCCAAGCCTTACATCACCAAGTGCAATGCAAAGCGTCAGATGCAGTAGTGTAAAGCACGCCACCACTGGACACATGTTCTCTGGAGTGACCAATCATGCTTCTTTGTCTGGCAATCCGATGGACGCATCTGGGTGCTTTTAATTGACACACGTACACACTATAGAGGGGTATACTTTATGTCTGAGGTATACAACCACTTTAAAGTGTTACTAACCCCAGAACCCTGCATTCACTATATCTAATCTCCCACAGTACACAGACCATGGAAATGCAATTATTTTTGTAAATATAAACTGCTAAATACCTTTTTTCATCAGCAGTTAGAGCAGTCTTGTGACTTCTATCAGAGTCCAGCAGAGCACTGGTTACATATTGGAGGAGGAGGAGTTTTCATTCTCCTGCAGCAGGATGCAGAACCTCTGACCTCTGTCTGGACAGTGCTGATTAGCCCTGTGCTGATCACATGCACTCTCCCAAGAAAAAGAAAAAAAAAAAAAAACTCTAGCAATACACACGAAACTGAGCATGTGCAGCTTGTCCCTAGCCTCTGTTCCATCAGGAGATATTTGGGAGATACTGGAAGAAGGGGAGGATCAGAGAAAAGAAAAGAGGATCAGACATCTTTTTTACACAATGCAGAGGATTAACCCCTTAGGTTCCACAGTGAGTATAACAAGCATGCTTTACTGCATATACAGACTGATTTTACCATTTTGGGTTTAGTAACACTTAAGGCATCAGTATACCAAGACATTTTGGACAATTTCATGCTCCCAACTTTGTGGGAACAGTTTGGGGATGGCCCCTTCCTGTTCCAACATGACTGAGCACCAGTGCACAAAGAAAGGTCCATAAAGACATGGATGAGCGAGTTTGGGGTGGAGGAACTTGACTGGCCTGCACAGAGCCCTGACCCCAACCCAACAGAACACCTTTGGGATTAATTAGAGTGGTGACTGTGAGCCAGGCCTTCTCGTCTGACATCAGTGCCTGACCTCACAAATGTGCTTCTGGAAGAATGGTAAACATTCCCATAGACACACTCCTAAACCTTGTGGACAGCCTTCCCAGGAGAGTTGAAGCGATAATAGCTGCAAAGGGTGGGCCAACTCAATAATTAATCCAACAGACCTAAGACTGGTATTAAAGTTCATGTGTGTGAAAAGGCAGGCGCCCCAATACTTTTGGCAATATAGTGCATCTAACACACACATACAAGTGCAGAATTCTACAGCGGCTGTAGCTCGTCATCAGAGCAAAGACAGGTCTTGCCACACACCGGACAGGTGAGTAATATCTTTGTTAGCAGAGGGACTTTTGCTCCACATTATGGCAACATAGTAACTTTAAAATAGTAATTTCTTCCTTCAAGCATAGTTTTTTTTTCCCCTGTGTACTCTGGCTCATTTCAGATATATGTTAGAACTCAGGTGATGGAAATAATTGTTTGACCACTGAATATCTGATCACAATATACAGCTATATTTACCTAATCAGAAAAACAAAAGGAAAAAAGAGCACAACCTGTGTATGATCTAGAGGTGGGGTAAAAACACAAATAGGCGTAACAAGAAACATCAATATGCAGGGAAAAAAAAAACACTTGTAAATGAATGCCAAACAAATGGGAGCCAATCGGGTTATAGAGGAAAAAATAAATAAATAGATTATGTTCTGTCTAGCTACCGCTGACAGGTGTATAGCTAACAATCCTATTTGTAGTCCTATTCACTTATGGTTTTGCTGGATTGAAGCTTGAGTCCATAAGGATACATGTAAGAAAAGAAAGGAGAAAGGCGCCTCTAAGTATAAACTATAAAAAGCTTGGAGGAACTGCAGCCCCGAGAACCATCTGGTAGTGTGACACCGACCTTGCGCTGTGTCTTTATAGGGAATTACAGATTTATTTTTTTACACCATAAAAGGTGATTGAGAGAGGCTGGTATACGTCAGGGGGTCTCCTGTTCCTGCATATCCTTATACGTCTTTTACCACTTGACAAAGGAGCACGCTAGGACTGCCATCTCACAGCGCATGCTCAGGTAATGCATCGCACCACGCCTGGTGACATCACGCACACGGTGCGTTCCAAGCCTTGGTGCAAGACCTCGTCCATCTTGCCGGCCGCTCATGACTGACACTGACAGATCATCATCCTGGACTGCACACTATGCCGTTCACAGTGGCTAAAACCCCATTGATGGATATTGAAGTGCCTTTTTAATCTACCCTCCTGTAAGTTGCTGTCTTTCATGTACAATAAATCAAGTTTCTTACAGTTTACACTTAGAGGCTCCTTTCTCCTTTCTTTGCTTATATTTACCCAATCAACCTATCCAAATTTTAATCACAATATTGAAAGCACTTTTTAGTCCTAAAGAACAGAAAATAGTGACAATATGCTTTAAAAAAACAAAACAAAAAAACACACAACACCTATAAGAACGTACTTACCATGTATATGGTGCCCTCGTCTGAAGTTTTTAGATGTATTTGGTTCAGATGGAGAATCAGTCTGAGAAGCAGGCCTTTCCTGTTTATTGGACTTCTTTTCCTCCAAGTGTAATGGAACCCATTTATGTTTGACATCTATAAAAACAGACAAGTCAGCTATATCAGACATCTAAATTTACTTATTTACTTAGGATACTCAAGATCTCTTTTAAAGTGATCCTGTCACAAATTTTTAACTCCCAAAACAGAATATCCTGCAAAATATATTGTTCTTCCAAAGTCTGCCGGGTAAGTGACACTTCCAGGAGTATCAATCTCCAGTGTCCCCTGCAGTTCTCAGTGGTTCCTTCTGCTGACCTACAAGTCACTAAAGAAATACAGTAGTTACATAGAGGTCATCAGCAGAAACCAGTAAGTGTTATGGGGGACACTGGAGATTGACACTCAGGAAGTGTTGCTTTCCCAGCAGACTTTGAAGGACCATTTCTCTTGAATAGAGCAGTGCTGGGCAGCACTGGTAGAGGTAAAGACAAGTATTTACACTCTTCTTTTGCAACCCGGTATAGCATGTAGCAGGACGTGCATCTGAGCAGCTCCACCAGGGATCCTGATAAAATATCCTGACAGCACCGGCATCTGTGATTTTACTCCAACTTTGCCTGCCTAGCTTACTCACCCCCTCCGCTACCCATTGCTGCTACTCCTGCTTCGCTGGGGGATGGCTAAAAGAGAGGAAAAGAAGCCTGAGCAGTGCACGACTAGATGGGACAAGAAGGCGGACTCCAGCCTTACACCGCTAAGGAGAAACAGAAGGAAGTGGCTCAGACTGCTTGCCAAAACTCCAGCCAAGGAGCCCCCCAGCTTCTGCCGCTCACTGAGCTGCAAGCAATGTGGATACTGGTAAGCGGATGGCTCCCTCCCTTCTCCTGAGGGCACAGCGGGCTCCGGCTTCACTGAGTACTCACCATGCAGACTCAGACATGGTGTTTGCACCCCAGCTTACTGGCACAGATCCAGAACCCACTTTGAGAGGAATTCTAACTGCAGTCACTACTTGCAATACTTCCATAGCAGAGCTAGTGGGGGAGTTGAAGGGTATGAAAGTTGAACTCAATCTAGTGCAGCAAGATATGCAAAAATGGCATGATCGCAGCACTGCCTTGGAAGGCAGGCTAAGCACACTGGAGAATGAATTGCAACTATTGCAGAGGGATATCTGGTATGTACAGTCTTGTCTCCTCTACCAACGCAGTTAGATTGGAAGAAAACAGTCTGAGGCAAATAACACATGTGCAGTTGGTATCCCCGAACATACTGAGGGGGAATAATATAGTTTCCTTTATAGAATCCTGGCTTGTGGCTACATTTGGGAAGGATAATCTTTCCTCCAATGTTTGCTGTGGAGACAGCTCATCGGGTGTCAGTGAGACCCCCTTCCATTGGGTGCCAGTCCTAGACCTGGTTTCGCCTTCTCAATTATAAAAGGCATAGATGCTATCTTGACCAAAGCAAAAAAGACTGCAATTGCTCACTGTGGATCATGCCCAGATATCCTTGTTTCCAGTTTTCTCTGCCACGGTACAGCACCAACAGTAGAAATTCTGACATCAAGCAACATTTGCACAAACTGGGTGTACAATTTGCTATGCTCTATCCTGCCTAGCATAAAATCATCCGTAATGGTACTGTGCAATTCTATGACAACCCCTCAGTGGCTGTGAACTGGCTCGACAAGGAGGAGCGTACTTTGGCACATCACTCACTATCTCAATTGGCTGAACATTGAGCCTACATGGTTCTTTTACTGAAATTCCTTCACATGGCAGATGATGACCTGCTGTGGAGCTCAATCTTATTTTTTTGCCAACTTAGAATTCTAGGTACCTGGAAGACTTTTCACATTTCTGTTGATGTGCCTTAGAGGCTGCACATTACCCCTCCATTCATGGTCCTGTATGAACCCACTGTTTGCTCTTCTTTTGCAAGGTATTTGTGTTACCAGTTATAGAACTCGTGACAGGGTTACTTTAAGAAGAAAAAAAGTGTCCATCATTTGTTTCAATGGAAACTTCCAGTAGTCAGTCGAAGGTTCAGCTTATAAATTGAATTCCGTATTTAGCTTCTTGATAATGTAACAAGTTCCAGGCAAAAAGCAAGCAGCTCAAGCACACCAGCAGAAAGAAAAAGACCTCACCATTTACATGTTTATTAATGCTCCTTCAGTAATTAGATTTTGTTCACACCAGCATGCAAGCTAAAAACTGGTGCACGCTTGTGTACATTGAGTAGGGGCACTGCAATTTGTTGTTATAATACATCGCAAGGTTTACGTTTTTCTCTCTAACTTCACTAAAAAGGATCACAAAATGACAATTCAGTCATCTATGTGGTGTGGTGAGTTGGACGGTTCAAAAAAAAATGCAAATATGATGCATTTTCACCATGCATGTATGGTGGGAACAGGCACATAGAAACAATTGTTCTCTATGTGCCCTTTTGATGATCTGGTGTTGATCTATGCTCAAAAAAGGCAAAAACGGCAACAGCGCAAGACCTCCATCAGCTTATATACACATTTACTGGAAATAAAAAAAATTATAGCACACTTACACATTAGGGGTTATGACAAAAGGAGGATTTCCCTTTGAAATATGTTACTGCCCCCTACATCGCCCACCACTCCCAGGCACACACAGGAACCACCACAAGGCTGATTACAGCGTTGCAGGATGCCAAACTCCGGTCAGTCCTTGACAGCTATCAGATCAAACACCTCCACCTCCTGCTAGCATGAGAGGAACCTGGTCTGCGGCTTCACTCTATCAGTGATGATAGTGTCTGTTTCTCCTGTGCTGGACACCTGTGTTTTAATGTGCAAGTGTGCTATGTTTTTATTTCCAATAAATGTGTATATATGCTGATGGAGGTCTCGCACTGTTGCCACTTTTGTCTGAGTTTCTCTTGATCTACCTGGATCTATGCTGACAGCTGCATGATTTCTCATCACATGACCACGTATCCTGTTCTACTCATCATAAGAGATTTAATTGGAGAGTTAGACAAACCAATCCAGTGCACTGCAACTTTCCAGTTTCATTTTGTGTTGATCTACGCAGATCCTTGTGTTAAAGAGCCCTAACCCTGCAAAAAAACATAGGAACCGGGGTATAGAAAATGGCAGTAGGTGTTCTGGATTGAGGAGTCAAAATTTTAAATATTTTGCTGTAGCGGGTGGCAGTTTGTTCATGAAGGGCTGAGAGCAGTACAATAAGGAGTGTCTGCAGTTAACAGGGAAGCATGGTGGAGGTTACTTGCAAGTGGAGTTGAAGATTTGGTCAGCGTCAATGGTGTCTTCAATTCTGAGAAATGCAGGCATATACTTTTCCATCATGTCATATCATCAGAGAGGCGTGTGATTGGCCCCAAATTTATCCTGCAGCAGGATAACGACTCCACACATGCATTTACTTTCCATTTTATTAACTGATAAAAATAAACTATTACCACTTCTATTTCTGAAAGCATTTCTTAAATTTACAGCATTTTTCATACTCAAGACTTTTGCACAGTACTGTACATTAAATACTGTAAGGAAAGGAAGACCTGCTGTACAGTAGCAAGTGGAAAATTATATCAGTACTGGCTGTTTCAGATCTCTAAAACCAAATAATACATCAAATTTCCACCAATGCCTGAAATGTGACAGCAATACTTACACTTTTTCTTTGCAGCCGCTGTGGGTCCTTCCTCGCTTTGGCCAGGAGTGACAACCTCGCAATTCTCTTTGCTTTCAGGGTTACTTTTCCACTCAGGTTTACTGTCGCTTTTTTTCTCCTTTTTAGAATACGAGTTTTTGTTGGGGGGATTTAGAAGGTTCGGCTGGAACTGTAACACACCAAGCACAGCAAAAAGCATTAGGAACAGGTTAACACATTTTCCTATATTAGGTTGATACTCCAAGTAATTAATTAGTAATTAATTAATTAAGTAATTATTAGTATTATAGTCCATTATTATGATACATAACATAGGATGCAGTTGTCAGCAATTCACAGTAAAACTGTAAAGGACAGAAATGCTAGCAATGCTTACTTTTAAAAGCTGCAGACTTCAGGGCTGTCATCCTGACCCTAGCTTAATTCATTACCTTCTACTTCAGTGATTCAGAGCAAGCATCTGGACAGCGAAATCTACTAAACATGAGCTCCAGTCCAATGTTTGTGCCAGGTAAGTGGCTTACTAGATAGTGCAGCCATAATCAGGACGACAACAAGGGAGCTTGAATTGTTAAAAAAAAAAAAAAAAAAAAAAAAAAAAAAAAAAAAAAAAAGAAGTAGTGGAGCAATGGCAGACCCTTAAATATGTACAGGCTGCCACAGTGAACCTCTATTAAAACCTCACTTCGGCCTCACGTCTTGCACCCTTCAGTGCTTCACCCCTCCAAAGATTCCTCCAGCAATATTGTAGGATTTTTTTATACTTACTTTTTCCTGAAGTCTTCAGACCACCCACATGATAAAACAGGGTCTTCGTCCTCCTATGTGTATACCTGGAAGTAGGTGGTTCTCAGGGATTAGAGTGCAGGGCAGGACATCATAATGGGGCATGCATATTATGTCCTGCACTCAGTCAGTCCTTACTCTGCCAGCTTGAATGCACCTACTATTAATTTTTGTTTTTTTAAACACCTGTGGGGGGAATTTGTTTCCATTTCATTTTGATCGGAGTTGAGCTTTGAAGTTGACAATTACCAGATATTAAAAAATGATCGCTTCCAGATAAAAGTTACTGTAAAATGGTTCTGCTCCATGACACAGCATACAAACTGCTTGTATCCTGCTCCATGGAGAGAGACTTTTACAGCACACATATTAGCCTCTGGGTTTGATTATATGAGCTATAACAATTTTGTGTGTTTTGTTTCAAGAATGCAATATTATAGGTTTACATTTACACATTTAATATTTACATATAAAAATAGGGGATGATATAAGTTTACTTTGTGCCCGTGGTTTACACCCCAAAAAGACACACTGGAAAGTTAATTGCATCCAATCCAATTCTGTCCTAGTGTGTGTATGCATGCATTTGAAATAGCAACCTTAGATCATAAGCTCCTCGAGGGCAGGAACTTCTGTGAATATACAAGATGTAAAGCGCTGTGGAAATTGCCAGTTCTATATACAGTGGGGCAAAAAAGTATTTAGTCAGCCACCAATTGTGCAAGTTCTCCCACTTAAAAAGATGAGAGAGGCCTGTAATTGGCATCATAGGTAGACCTCAACTATGAGAGACAAAATGAGAAAAAAAATCCAGACAATCACATTGGCTGATTTGGAAAGAATTTATTTATGGTGGAAAATAAGTATTTGGTCAATATCAAAAGTTCATCTCAATACTTTGTTATATATCCTTTGTTGGCAATGACAGAGGTCAAACGTTTCCTGTAAGTCTTCACAAGGTTGGCACACACTGTTGCTGGTATGTTGGCCCATTCCTCCATGCAGATCTCCTCTAGAGCAGTGATGTTTGGGGCTGTCGCTGGGCAACACGGACTTTCAACTCTCTCCAAAGGTTTTCTATGGGGTTGAGATCTGGAGACTGGCTAGGCCACTCCAGGACCTTGAAATGCTTCTTACGAAACCACTCTGTTGCCCAGGTGGTATGTTTGGGATCATTGTCATGTTGGAAGACCCAGCCACGTTTCATCTTCAATGCCCTTGCTGATGGAGGGAGGTTTGCACTCAAAATCTCACGATACATGGCCCCATTCATTCTGTCCTGTACATGGATCAGTCATCCTGGTCCCTTTGCGGAGAAACAGCCCCAAAGCATGATGTTGCCACCACCATGCTTTACAGTAGGTATGGTGTTCTTTGGATGCAACTCTGCATTCTCTCTCCTCCAAACACAACGAGTTGTGTTTCTACCAATCAGTTCTATTTGGTTTCATCTGACCATATGACATTCTCCCAATCCTCTTCTGGATCATCCAAATGCTCTCTAGCAAACTTCAGACGGGCCCGGACATGTACTGGCTTAAGCAGGGGGACACATCTGGCACTGCAGGATCTGAGTCCCTGGCGGCGTAGTGTGTTACTGATGGTAGCCTTTGTTACGTTGGTCCCAGCTCTCTGCAGGTCATTCACTAGGTCCCCCCGTCTGGTCCTGGGATTTTTGCTCACCGTTCTTGTGATCATTTTGACCCCACGGGGTGAGATCTTGCGTGGAGCCCCAGATCGAGGGAGATCATCAGTGGTCTTGTATGTCTTCCATTTTCTAATTATTGCTCCCACAGTTGATTTGTTCACACCAAGCTGCTTGCCTATTGCAGATTCAGTCTTCCCAGCCTGGTGCAGGTCTGAAATTTTGTTTCCGGTGTACTTCGACAGCTCTTTGGTCTTCACCATAGTGGAGTTTGGAGTGTGACTGTTTGAGGTTGTGGACAGGTGTCTTTTTATACTGATAACAAGTTCAAACAGGTGCCATTGATACAGGTAATAAGTGCAGGACAGAGGAGCCTCTTAAAGAAGAAGGTACAGGTCTGTGAGAGCCATAAATCTTGCTTGTTTGTAGGTGACCAAATACTTATTTTCCACCATAATTTGCAAATAAATTCTTTCCAAATCAGCCAATGTGATTGTCTGGATTTTTTTCTCATTTTGTCTCTCATAGTTGAGGTCTACCAATTACAGGCCTCTCTCATCTTTTTAAGTGGGAGAACTTGCACAATTGGTGGCTGACTAAATATTTTTTGCCCCACTGTAAATACCTGCAATAAAACTAACATGAAGTTTTAGTAGGGGATATTTATAATAGGCTTACAACCATGGGCTAAATATTAATATGGGTAATAAAGATCTTAACTGGGAGAAGAGAAAAAAAAAAAAAAAAAAAAAAAAAAACCACACTATCCATGCTTTTAAATGAGATAGAGATACACACCACATGGTTGGCAGTTTCACTCGGTGTTGGCCAGTTAGTGATGTCACTGAAGTCACTAGCCTAGAGAAAAAAAAAAGAAAACCACAAAATTCACTTTATTGAACTACTGTTCAGTGCTGTAATAAATGCATACAAGGGAAGCAGTATATATGCCGCTGGCACACATACAAATTGCAACAAGTACATTTAGAGAATTCTTCCACTCAATCTTTAGATCAAAAGACTCCCCAAGCAAAGGAAATGGAGTACAGGTTTTATTTTAACCATGTCTTTCCTAATTGCACCTGAAACTCTTGTGCCATTCAGTACTAAGGCTCCATGCACACTGGGCGTTTGAGAACGCTGGTAACGTTAGCGGTGTAAAGTCACATTAAGCTGTAGAGAAAAAAAAAGGTCACAAGCCACAAACAGCCGCTGTAAAAACGTCCAGTGTGCATGAGGACAAAGGGTGCTGTTCAATGATTTGTAGCTCACATTGCTATTGACTATTAGCATCTTTGCATCAAGTGTGCCAATCTTAAGAGGAGGTAGATTCTCGAGTATGAAGCTTAACTATTCTCTGAGGACTTGAAGACATATTTTTGGCGTTCTTATTACATTAGTTATAATTTGACTTTCACACTCTCAGACTTGTTCTTCATTTCTTGTATTTAAATAAACAGAGATTTGTAGATAGCAAATTAGGGTGAGTTACCAGCTGCCCAGTGCAATTACTTTGTCCCTCCACTACTGATATGAACTTTACTTTGCGATGCAATTAACAATTTTGGAAACATTAGCTCCGATTTTGCAATGCAGCCTGCTCAAAAAACACCTGGTTTTGTTTTCTAAACAAAACCATGTGATCACCATGTAAGCACTCAAATCAAAGTATCTGTACAGAAAATTGTTAGCAGATGCATCCAATGGGCACTGGCTGTCAAAATACAATAGAAGCAGTGGAAAATTGAGGAACCTGTTAGGGCTCATGTACACTGCAGCTGCTAAACTGACATTTAGGAGCTGCTGAGCGTTTTTTTCAGCAGCCCCTGAACTCTTCTATAGGTTTTCCTATGTGTCCATGTACACATATAGCCGTTTACAGGCCGTTGAGTTTACAGTTGCGTTCAGGAGTAGATTTTACCGGGGTTCCAAACGCTTGTAAATGCGGTTAACTGTGTTTACAAGCGTAAGCGTTTAGACGCGTTTTTTGACAGGTCCACATCCAGATGCTGTCCAGAGCCATTTATTCTTCATCAAAAATGCATGCAAAGCGTTTTCCATGTATTCAAATGGACCCAGTACACCAGCACAGTCAGTTCCAGGTTTCGCATGAAGGAAATAAATGGTAGAACGTGCTGCATTATGCTCATGATGGGATCCATAGTGAATACAACCAGAAAAGACAGGTCATCTCAACACATACTGCTCTCTCTGCTTCTGCTCTCTCTAAAATGTCTGAAAAAGTTAACTTACTATTTTTCAGTGCATTCTGGGCATTTGGAAGGGTCTTCTGAGGTTATTTTTTAAAAAACCGCAAAGAAACGCGGTATGCAAATGCGGCTAAACTGACGTTTTTAACCTACATTTTCTAGCAGTCAGTTTTGCAGTGGTCAGAAGAGTTTTCCAAATGCCCCGTGTACATGAGCCTTTAGATGTTTTTTCATTCAGCCTGTGTATATGGCCATTAGTTTGTCCAGGCTCAGAACTTTAGGAAATCAGTAGTAGCCAGTTAGCATACAGATTGGGTAGGGGTGGGAATGGGAGAATGTATTTCTTTTTTTTTTTTTAATTCTGCATTGGTATGTGGCCAGGGAAACAAGGATCAAACTGTCATGATAAATTTAAAAGCCCACATAACAGGAGAATGTAAAATCTGGTGCAGCTCTGCATAGAAACCAATCAGCTTCCAGATTAATTGAACAAGGTGAAATTAGAAGCCGATTGGCTACATTGCACAGTTGCACCAGATTTTGCAGTTTTCCAGTTTTAGTAGATCAAGACTGAGGAATAGTTTTAGATCCATCATGTAGGTTTATCTCTAAAGTTATAAGGTAGTCTCATCTTTCATTTTTAGTAGCCAAAATCTGGAGTTTATATTTTTGGTTTGCAATAAAAATTTGTTTTGCACAGTGCAAGTAGATACTGAATAGAGATTTGAAAAATAAATAAATAAATTTAAAAAAGGCAAATGTTTTGGGAAACAGAGAATTGAAATCTATTTATTCTAGAATTTTTCTGCCTTTGAGAAACATTTAATTTTGGTTGTCTTTAGTATATTTCCAAGCCAACAAAGTACATTTAAAACACCTGTGTAAAAAAAATTAAAAAAAAAAATGACTCAAGTAACAAAGGGTTAAATGTGTTTAGAACTGAGAATATATCCCTCTACAGAACACCCAAACACTACTAAACTAGTGGGCTTGTCCCTTCAAACAATTTTGTGAGCAAATCAAGAACATGAATCCACATGAGAGTGACACATTCAGCATTCAGTAAGCAATCAAACTGGTAACCAACCTAGAAAACAACCACACAAGAAATACGTATATAAAACAGAAATTTCTGTACCTTTTTAGACACGGGTTTTGCAGCTTTTACAATCTTTGCAGGGCATGGAAGGTCTAAAATGAACAGACATTTATTTGTAAGAACAGTATGCCCATTCATTTGACATAAATGATACTCTTATTACAAGAACAGCAATTTGTAGACTAGGATAGCTGTTTAATGACCGATTATTAATCTTCACTAACCAAACTGAAATGTCAATTCAATAATAACTTTACTACTTATATAGGGAATTTAGAAGAAACCAATATATTTTGTATTGAAATAAATATATTATATTGCAGGCTGCCACTGATGACCTTCTTACTGAAATGTTAGTTATTTGGCAATGGAGCTGACCTTGTGGCGTTAATATTTAGAATTCCTGATCAGAGTACTTGTTCTGGTTCAGTGACTTGGACTAGCTTGAGTTGCAGATTTGTTTCATATACTTAAAGCTGAACTCGAGCTATGGTTTCAAAGGTTCCAGTTTCTTTTTACTTTGATGCATGCATTAAGGCAAAAAACCTTCTGTGCCACAGGTTCCCCCAAGCCCCGCTTCTACTCACCTGAGCCTGATCTCGATCCAGCGCTGTAAATGAGAGCAGCAGCTCTCTCCGCGCTCTCCCTCCTCACAGGGCAGACTGACAGCAGCAGAATCCATTGGCTCCTGCTGTTGTCAATCAAATCCCATGATGAGCGAGCAGGGGCTGAGCTCCACTGTCTATGTCTACAGATAGACAGCGCTGCTCAGGATCTAGCCCGCACATACTTCACCATAGGAAGAGCCTTCCTATGGTGGCATATGCAGGAGCGCAAGCAGGGGACCCCAGAAGAGGAGGACTAGGGCTGCTCTGTGCAAAACCATTGAGCAGAGCAGACATGACCTGTTTATTATTTAAATGAAGATTTAAAATCATTTTAATTGCATACGGTAGTTATATTAGTCTATCTTGGACTAATGCAAATCTACATACACCATACCTGTGGAATTGTTCACTCACTACAACAGCCATTCACAAAATGCCTTGTATTTTTTCAAAGAATACAAAGCAATCCAATTGGACAAGGTGGAGTTTGTGAAGTCACAAGCTCACCTCTCCATCTGCAGAAGGGCAACTGCTCGGACAGGATTCAGAGGACCGCAGCAATCACTGTTGTAGTGTTGATTACCACAGCGATTCTCCCCTTCCACAGAAATCCTAGAAGTATGGAAAATGTATACTTACGTATGCAATAAAAACATAGCTGGAGCTCGGCTTTCATTTATTGAATTTGGATGTAGCCAGGTAATTATTCCTTTTCCTCATGGAAGAAAGCAATGGTAGCCAAAACCTCAGTTAGGGCTCGTTCACACTTGGCTGTTTTACCAACGCTTGCCAAACGCCCCTATAGCTTTTGGCAAGCGTTGGTCCGGCATTTGCGGAGCGGTTTTTAATGCTCCGCAAACGCAGCATGCGCGGTTTAGCGGCGGTTGCTAGGCGTTTGCCGAGCGTTAAAAACGCCCCACATACGCCTATAATGCAGTTGAATGGTGTTACCGCTCTGCAAACGCCCCGCAGCCGCACCGCAAACGCCGGCCGGGCGTTTGTGGAGCAGCACCACAGACTAGAATAGGAGGCTTCAACGCCTCCTGACTCGACCAGAGGCGTCCGTTTTGCCATGACGCAACGCGACATGACGCAAACGCTCCTGTTAGAACAGCACCATGTGCTGTAATGTGCAGAATTGACAGAGGCGTTTGGCAAGCAGTAAAAACGCTTCCCAAATGCCTCTCTGCCGCCTGCACACAACGCTAGTGTGAACGTAGCCTTACATGCAGAATCTGCTCCTAGTATAGCAGCCTAACCAAAGGCAACATACACATAGCATAACAAAAAAAAAAAAAAAAAAAAAACTTTTCATGCCTTGAACATTCACATCTAAAAACTTTGTGCAGGCTGTGTCAAAACAGCAGTATTGCTGTGCGAGTACAAGGGCTATTAAAAATTCTTATCAGCATTCACGTTTTTGTATCTAGCCAGAACAAAAAAGTAATTTAGTTCAAGCATGAATGTGTAAAGATAAGAGTATAGACTATACAGCTCTGCAGTGTAATAACAGCCCAACTGGTCTACCTTGTCAATGGTTTCGTAAAAGAGAAGCCCCCTACTGCCTGCCTATAGTAATCATTATATAGTCAAGAACACCTGGAAGTAGATCACAGTCAGGGGTCTGCAACCTTTAAGTAAAGAGCCATGGACCCATTTCGAGAGGGAAAAAAAGACTGGGAGCCGCAAAAACCATTGCAACATTTAAAACAAATAGCATATATTGCAAAAAACGCTCTGGTCATGAAGGGGGTTTAAGGGCCCAGTAAGCAAAGGGTTAATCAGGGCCACAGTGTATAGTCATAATCACAATCATAGCCTTAGGTCAGTGGTGGGCAACCTTTTTTTTTCGACTGAGCCAAATCTCGCCAAAACCACGATTGAAATTTATTTTGAGAGAAACATTTTTAAAACTGAAAAATACATCCCCCATATAGTAATTCATCCCCCCTATAGTAATTCATCCCCCCTATAGTAGTAATTCATCCCCCCTATAGTAAATCCCCCCTATAGTAATTCATCCCCCCTATAGTAATTCATTCCCCATATTGTGTGAATTCACTTACCTTTGCTCCGCGCGTTCCTCTCGCTGGGTTCCCGCGCCGTTCTGGTCTTCAGGGCGGACTGTGAGAGAGAGGAGTTCGTCACGCTGCCCCTACATCCGGGCTGCCCCGCCTACATCCTATGTTTGCCAGCGGGCGCCCGGCACACAGAAGATCTACATTAAAAAGAGCCGGGCTTGCCGATTGCCTGTCACCTGGTGGGAAGTGTGCTCCAGCCGCTGGAAAGGTGAAAAAGAGCCGCATGCGGCTCCGGATGCCACACCCGACATAAGTCTTCGAGGTTATGTGGGTAACTCAATTTTGGGTTCTGGAACACACGGCTGTTCTCACCCTGGAGACTTCCATTTACTACCTGGCTCTCCTTCAGAGTGGTATGGCCATGAATATATAGTTACCGCTGAGGAGTGATGTTGTTTTGACCATCTCACTATATGGAAGCTGATCTCATCAAATTTTAATGTAAGTTGCTACAATAAAATATGTTTGTCATCTAATACATATACTGATCCCTGGTCTGTTTATGAGGTCTATGGGAAGTGTTTGGAGAAGATGGTAGAATAATGTTTGGAGGCAATCTCATCTTTATTATGGATCCTATGCAGATTTTATCTATGTTAGGGTAATTATGCAGTTTTTTATATTGTGTGCAGTGGATTAATTGAGTTGTTGGGAGTCCTGACATTTCACGATTGCTGTGGCACTTTAATTTGTCTGCATGTGACACGTGTGGCACTTTATTATAATATCTGGGATAATACAATATGTTTAGAATCTTTTTCTTTGAGGTATATGAAGATTTTCTGGAGTATACCATCAATCTTATTCGGGGATACGAATTATTGTAAAATCACCTGCAAGAATTTTTTGGACTTTACTTGGACTTTAGGTGTAGTGACACTTTATATGTGTTTATTTAATCAAGTCTGCTTATTATTTTTATTTAAAAGTAAAAATATGCCTTCACTGACCTTTGTAGCTGCAGGCAGTGTAGAACAGGGGTAGGCAGCCTTAAAGTAAAGAGGTGGAGGAAGAGGGTAAAAGTGCCCAGTAGGCAAGTAGTTAACCATTGCCATTTTAACCTGTGTGGCACCTTGTGTGTCTGTAGGCCAAACATTCCAGGGTATATAAACTTTTTTTAATCATGACCATTTGGGTGATTTCTATTATCATTAGGATTTAAAAAAGGAGCCAAAACAACTATGTGATAATAAATGGCTTCATATGATCACTATCCTTAAACAAGACAAGATTTTTTTTCCATTATCAGCCATATTTTCAATAGCAATGCCAAAATTTCACAATTTTCAGTATCACCCTGGTGCCGCTTTCTGGAGCCGACAGCTGGCTCTCTTGTACAAAACGTTCTGTCCCACCAGGAGACCTGAGCAGCCAGCTAGCGTGTCCACAAGCTGGTCAGACACACGAACAGTCAGTTTACCTGGATGTCATGGGCGCCATTTTAAAAAAATCAAAAGCATTACAAAAATACTGATCTTGGTGTTTTGAATGCTTTTGGAGGACAAAAGAGGGATTTGGGTCTTATAGACGCCAGATCCCTCCATAAAAAGCACTTGTCACATGCCTATTACTGTCACAAGGGGTTTACATGTTTAAAAATTTTAAGTGCCCCCATCCCCCTATCATCACGTGAACACGCGTGTCAGTAATGCACACATGCAAACAGCAATCAGCCCACATATACTGTATTACTGCGAACATCAGATCATGGGCAGTAATTCTAGCACTAGACCTCCTCTGTAAATCTAAAGTGGGTAAACTGAAAAAGTATTTTTAAGCGTCGCCTATGACTAGTAAAACGGATGTCGTTTGTCACCATTGCACGTGCAATTTTAAACCATGCATGTTTGGTATCTATTTACCCGGGGTAACATCTTTTATGTTTTATTATGTATTTGTTGTGTTTTTTCCCTAAAAAAAAAAAATGTAGTTTGCAAACCACCGCATAAATACCATGTGACAAAAAAAAAAAAAAAAAAAAAAAAATTGCAAAACCCACCAATTTATTCTCTAGGGCCCTGGCTTAAAAATATATACTGTTTAGGAGTTCTAATTAATTTTCTAGCAAAAAATACAGGTTTTTACATGTTTACAAAAAAGTTCCAGAAATGGCCTAGAGCTGAAGTGGTTAATTTCCCATTGGCTTTTTAAATTCAATTAGCGTCTGCGTATAGATAGCCTGAGTTTGTTAGCTCTCATGTGGATGCAAAAGACCTGCGTAACAAGGTAACTGAACTTATAAGATGGAAAAGGATATAAAAAGTTATCCAAAGCCTTGAATATGCCAGTCAGTACTGTTCAATCACTTATTAAGAAGAAGTGGAAAATTTGGGGATCTCTTGATACCAAGCCAAGGTCAGGTATACCAAGAAAATTTACAGCCACCACTGCTAAAAGAATTGT